ACACAAAACAGACTTGTTTGACTCCGTCAAGTTGTGTTACGAGGGTCAACGTGTATTTTGATATTAAATAGGTTTATTTTATTGATATCTGAAAAGGAATTAATTCTTTGCCACAATTTGTGAATTTCTAACTCATATATCTTTGTAGCCCAATGTTGTAAACCTCAGACATTTCAAATTATGAATTCTAAGAAATATAAAATTTTCATCTAACAAAATTTGCTGGTGCACCTCGGAGCCAAATTCAACCTGGAAGCATAATTTCTCAACTTTTGTTGATTGACATTTACCATTCATCAACATTTGAAGATTCGAGATACTAAGTTAAATTTGGTTACGGTGCTCAAAAAAATTTTGTGAGGTGAAAATTTGACATTTCTTAGAGGGTTGCAGAAATGTAGGGTTTAACAAATTTGAGTTTGTGACAAGACAACTTTCCTCAATTCTACAAAATCTCAAGCCAATCTCGTGGGCCTATTAACCAGCGAAATGTTGTCTTTTCCTCTGTTAAACATACCAAATATCTGAATAGTATGTTTAATTACATGGTAAACAACTTATTGAACTAGTTGTTATTTTCCTTCACAAATAGTACCTCATGATATTTACACAGTGTACCACAATATTGATAAATGGTCAGGTTTGTAAACATTTCGTTCTCATTTACTCATTCATAATTCTATGGGCAGAACTACTTTTAATTCCCATCTTTTATGCAATCTGAAATATATGTGTAGAATTAATTCCATCACTTTTCAAATCCAATAATGTGGCTAAGATTGGCGAAAATAGTGTTTATTATGTGTTCTTTTTTCATCCAGAGAAATAATATTTATTTTCTAAAGAATTTGAGTGTTAGAAATGTCTTTATCTTTGCAACCCAATGTGACAGACCTTGGATATTAATTCTGTTAGATCAAATAATTTAATTTTGAAATATCTAAGATCTACACTATCAGTTTGAAAAGGATTAGAAACTTTAAGTTTGCGACAAAGACAAAAACAAAATTCAAAAACGTTTTTAGGAATTAAGTCAAGTCACTCTTCATTTGTATCTAAAGTGGTGTGGGTAGAAACCCCAGGCAGTATAAATGTCATACTAAAACTTCAAAAGTTTTTTATGCAAAAATGAAGATATTACGAAAACAAATTGTAAAGTAAATTTGATTATATTTTTTAAAATCTTTGATTCAAAAGATACCTTTTTTGAAAATTATTTATGTTTAGATAAATCTTTTAATGCAGATATTTAAAAAAAAGAATTATCTAAATATTAAAAATAATTCAATTAAAGAGATATTTCTTGAATCAAATTATTAAAAACAAATCAAATCGAATTCAATTTAGAATTTGTTTTCTTTATTTCTTTCTTTTCGCGTAAAAAAAGTTTTAGTGAACAATTTAATTGTACTGCATAGCGTAGGCTCGGTGCTGCATAGCGTAGGCTCGGTGCTGCATAGCGTAGGCTCGGTGCTGCATAGCAAATCTAGGAGTCTCGTGGCGGACGGGTGGGGGTTCTCTCCATAGAGTGCACGTCTAGGCTCATGGCGGCCGGGTGGGGGGTTCCCTCCACAGAGTGCACGTCTAGGCTCATGGCGGACGGGTGGGGGGTTCCCTCCATAGAGTGCACGTCTAGGCTCATGGCGGCCGGGTGGGGGGTTCCCTCCACAGAGTGCACGTCTAGGCTCATGGCGGACGGGTGGGGGGTTCCCTCCATAGAGTGCACGTCTCCAAATTACAAGATTACCATTTGACTTTGACTGATCGAGTAGGCCAATTCTTTTATTTACAGAAACAATTTCAATTGTTAAACATTTTTTTAATATTTATGAAAAAAAATATTTAATTTCCAGAAGTGGTAGAAAATAAATATTTACATTTAAAGTTTGAAAGTACGCGTTGGACAAAAATTATTCTGGATTTTCAAGTGATACAAGTAACATCGGCTCAGTTGACTGGACACTACACGCTAGCGTACACTGCAGTTCTACGGAAATTTGAATATAATTTCAAAAATTTATATATACATACCGTTTTTAATTGGGAATGCCCTTTTTTGCTTAGTATGTCAGTTGAAATTACAAACAAAAAAATTGCAAGCTTATCTCTGATGAATGATAAATGTAAAAATGTAGTTTTATTGCTTGCCATTATTTCCCTTATGTGAGTCAATCATATACTGAAAAGAATAAATTTCTCTATCCTCTATCTACTGTCCATTGTTAGAAATTGAATACCAAAAGAATCAATTTTCATAATCCGAGCATGTTTTGCCTTTCACATGGTTTCAGACACCATTCTATTCCTGCAAAAGTTTTTGACTCAAATTTTTAAATATCACATTATGATCAATTTCACTAGAATTTTATATGCATCACTTGGTGTACTTTTCAGTATGGAAAACCGATCGTTTCGTTATTAAAAAGACGACGAAAAAACGAAACGATGGTTTTTATAATTTTTTTCGTTTCGTCAACGATCATTAACTACAACCCCTCGTTAACGAAGAGAGGAGGAGAGAGAAAACCGACCTGAAGGGCATCAGTACATATCATTGAGTAGTTTTAAAGAAAATATTATGAAGTTTTGGCTCCCCCAGAACTTTAACCTGCATGTGAGACGGTATTCGATGAAATTGCATGTAAAACGACATTCATAATCGTCTTTATGAATGTCTGAAAACATACAGAGCGTCCCCTATCATATTAGATTATCTCCAATCTTTAACTTCAAAATAAACATATAATAATCGAAAAACATAGCATTTCCAGCAAGAAAATTTTTATATTAGCCTTATCCAATTTTTCAAAATGATTTATCCTACATAAATTTTCTGATTAGTCCCAGAAATTGTAATTTAGACCCATTGACGATCTAATATGATATGGGACACCCTGTATTTATCAATGAAAATTTGTTTCTAAAAAACGATCGTTTTTTTCAAAAGCGATAGTTTTTTTAAAAAAAACAATCGTATAAAAAAGGTCAAAAAACGAAATGAAAACGATCGATTAACGATCGTTTCAAAACGATTAACAACCCTTTAGACTACAGTCTATAAGTATACTAAAAAACATTTGCTCTTATAACCTTAATTTTAACCTGTCATCTACTTTATTGTGTTTTATAAATGGCAAAGATATTAACTGGCCAGGCAATAAGGAAATATATTTTTTAAGTTAAATTGTCGCAGAAAATTTTTGTGTATAAATTTATTTGGAAGGAATAAATAAGTTCTGTGGATATTTCTGCTTAAATTCAATGATACTGATGTGATATTTACCATTCTGCTCATTTTTCTTGTAGTATTAAAATTCCACTTTGTAAAAAAAGTAAATTTGTAAAATGTGAATGTTTTCAAAATTTTGTTTTTAATTGACCAATTGCAGCTTTACAAAATGTTTTTATCTTCTGATCCAAGATATTCTATTTCAACAATTCAGCTGAGACTAAAGAAAGTAATGAAAATTCCATTCTTTTCATTCTTAACACTTTTCTTTCAATCATCCGTTTGAAGGGAGCGTTTAAGAATTGAACCGATTAATTTAAATTTTACAGATAAAACGTGTCTGGCCGGCCTATACCAAATTCTTCAAAAACAATTCTTCTTTTTGTTCCGTTTATACTTAAGCTTTCCGCATGCTATAGGTAGAGTAAAACTTTAAAGGTCAACCAACAGACTGTTTGCAGCAAACACTGATTTATTTATCCCTATATCTTTACACCCCGATGTTCATACCCCTTTGACATTTCAAACTATATATTAAGTCAGATAAAATAGTTAAAGTTTGAAATATTAAAGATTTTCTCCATCAGGTTGCAAATATACATGTAGTATGTCTTAATGTAAATAAAGCATAGATTTTTATGTTCGTGCTTGTTAACATTATAGCGCATAATTTACACATTTTAATTCTCAAAAAGTTGCTTGTATGTACCCTTTCTACCTTACTCTTTCTCCTCTCAATAACATTATCTGACATACTGGTCCAAATACCCAACATTTAGGTTTATTTATCTTCAGTATTTTATAGATATTTCCAGGATACAGAAATTCCAATACAAAACTTACTAGGGCACCAATTGTACAGGAAAATTTATTAAAGGAACAAACTTAACATTTCTCCTTAATCAACAAAAGGTTAATAAAACTTTTTGACAATCATTCTGTTTGGTCCGATGTACACATTTTACTGGAAGGATTCACTTTTTTTGTTGGTCGAGGTATTTCAGATGTACAGTGTAAACACTTCATAGGTCCTTGCGCTCTTTTGGCAGGTCTTTTTTCGAATATACTTTTAAAAACTTAGAGGCAGTATTAGATCATCAACTACTTATTAAGGTGCAAGCAGTTTTTTACGTATGTTTAAAAGCATTAGGATTGGTGGAATCCCCCTTAGAGTTGAGAGAGAAAAAAAACTTCATGAAATAATTATGAGAAATGGTGTTAGATACAGTTAGAACAAAAAACAGTCTGTAAAAATGTGCCGTGCCGTGCTGTACTGGTACGAGTTTGGCCTGATTAGCTTCGAGTCTCATAAAATTTTAGTATTCCATAATTTTGTCAATAAGCCTACCTTTACAATTCAAATTAAGTTCTGGAATTCCTATATATTTAGTAGGAAAAGTAGGAAATTGTTCCCCTTCCCTTTCATCATTACAGCCTTCATTTCATTCAGATGTCAAGGTATAAAATGTTAGGGGGGAAAAGGGGGTTGAAAAAAAATATTTAAACCTATTCAGACTGACGTCTATTTAAACCCAAAGTAAACTGTTTTATTTCGAAACTTAAAGTTAAGAGTAAACTGTGGAACACAGAGCAAACATTTTAATAGATGACGATATATTTTGAAGACATTTTTCTTGCAAAAGTGAATTGATCTTAACTAAAACGGTGGTTTCCGAATGAATTTGAAAGTTTTAAAAGGATTGGATTGATAAGTTTCAAATGGACCAGTTTAGGTATTTCACAAATACATTAGGTTAACCTTTAGGAATGATTACACAATTTTGATTTATTTATTGAATGGAAAACAAAGCAGAATACAGAATGCATGAGATGGAACCGGATTGTCAAGATGAAAAATATAAAACCAATTGCAGCTTAGATAATTTTAAAATGTTTGAAAATGTGAAAATTAGTTAAAAAATTTATTTAAACATATATGGTGAGAAGAAAAACTGCTTAATTCAGTTTCTCTCATCAGAAGGTTGAATAGATAGATTATGATGGTTTGAAGTTCCATAAAGAATGAGTTTCCATTCATCGATTCTTGACATTCTCTCTCCCCCGTTTCTAAATAAAAGGGAAAAATAAGATTTTCTGCACTGGCCTGTCATCTACACAGTTCTCAAAGAAGTTTATTCCAAATTCAAATGAGAATTAATTAAACTTTGTAGGTAAAACATAGCAGAATATTTTCTTATTAAAAGCGAAAATCCAATGATTTTTTTCTTTGATGAAGAAATGTTTTTACTGAGTTTGGCTTTTGTTTCTTCACTGCAAATTGTGTCCTTGAAGCCAGGAAATCAAAGAGTTTAAAGTTGTTAAACTTTGTGAAGTGTAAACAGGAATTTCGTGATGTAATTCAAACTATGTTTACCTTTTTATTTGGGTGTAATGTCAAAAAAGAAAAAAAAAACGACAAAACGGCTGATCCCGATCGAGCATAATTTTTTTTTTTTTGTGGGGGAAGGCAACATTTTTGACCAAAGGAAAGGTTTTTGTATAATTTTGCCAGCAAAAAAGGTAGAAATTTATTATTTTTGAAAGTGCACCAATTCAAACAGAAAAACACGCGAAAAAACGATTCACAACGCCGACTTTAGAGTAGCAGTTAAAAGCTAAATTATCAAATCAATTTATTTTTTAGATATGAAGAATCTTTTACTATTTTTTGATGATCTTTTATTATCTTAGTTTTTAAATATGATATACCTAATTGTAAGCGTCCAGTTGCCAGTTGGGTTTTCCCCCCAGTAGTGTGTGGACATAAGAGGCCAGATCTGAAATCCCTCAAATCCTGATATATGTATAAATCTGAAAGGTAATGTAGTGGAGGTTTCATGAGTGGATAAAAACGGTGGGCAATTTTTAGTTCTAAGAGATATGTTCACAGATTTTTTTTGGTTCTGAAGAGGAGAAAAGAAAAAGTCATATATTTTAAGTTTCTTGCTTTAGAACTGCAGAATAATCTGAAATTTTGGAGGGAACCTTCTTTATATTTAGTTCATATTTTTGTCTTCTCAATGTAGATTTGAATTCTCGCAAAGGGGAATTGAGTTTTTGCCACAAATCCCAATTTTATAATACCTAAATCTCAACAACCAGATGATGCATACCTTTCATATTTCAAACTTAAATTGTTTGATCCACCAGAATTCATAGTTTGAAATATCTACGGTCTACGACATTTGGTTTTAAATAAATTGAGAATTAAAAATCCGAGTTTGTGGCAAAGAGTCAATTCCTTTGGATTTGGAAATCTTACCTGAAACCGAATGATCCAAGGGACGAGGAGCAAGCAGGTTCGATATAGTACCGCTAGGTGACTCTAGGAACAAAGAGAAAGCTCCGCGTTGAGAAAGTGAATTGATGTTAACCTTCACGTGGACATGTTCAAGCACAGAAACTGCTGAACAACCTTCTTGAACTGGGATCATAAGTTGAACATCCTGAGTCATTGGTATTTTTATACCTCCTGCCCATGTTGCCTCGCAGGACTAACAAAAGACATTTTAAAATGAGAATTGCCCACTTTTGCCAAAACAATAACATTTATACTTTATTGAAAACAAATGTTATTCAATTTGACAAAAATGTTATGAATACAATCATCAGAGACCAAATTTAATAAATTTGAAAGGTCGCTGAACTATACCTACCACTGGTTCAAATTCTGAATAATCTTTTCAGATCCTCATGGACCTTTATCTCAAATTTGAACCGATAGAAGTTTAGTAGGTAGTTCATCGAACTAGCTCAAATTCATTAAATTCGGTCTTGATAGTTCTAAATTTAGTTTCCATCATAAAAGCTTTAATGTTGTTGCCTTTAAATTCAAAAAAATAAACTTTAATTTAAAATATTTCCTCTTTCTGGAGTAACAAGAATAGTTTATTTCTTGAGAAAACTTAAACTTATAATGCGATTCAAACATCCAATTTGTTTCATTTTTGAATTTTAACTTTACAGGATTTTAAATTTGTGCATCACAAAAACTTTTTAAAGGGATTAAATTTTTTATTTTGTTTTTACCTGCATTATTTATAGTCATTTATTATATACAAAATCTAAACTGAATTATTACGCTCTTCTTTTTTAAAGGCGCAATTTGTATTTTAAATATCTATGCTTTTAGCCATCTTCTATTTCAATTGTGAACATTTTCTCTTTGTATACATAAAATAAAATTCGCGGATTTTATAAAAATATTTCGTGGATTTTTAGAATGTTCAAAAAAAAATTTTATTAGAGGCAAATTTTTGAAAACTCGATCATCCATAAACCTTCTTTTGGTTCAAAATATTTATCCCACAAAATATTTGAGCCTGATCGGTTCAGCAGTTTTGACGTTTTTTGGAAACAAACAAACAAAGTATATATAAAGAAGAAGGAGCGAATTTTAATCAAATTGAAGTTTTACACATGATTTACAATTATATATTATTAACTATTATATATTTAATCCCTAACTAGATACGATTAACATTTTTCACGATCTTCACAGGAGTTCCCCACTTAGAGATTTTCAATTAAACTGAAGTATTTTGTCTTATCGTTTTTCGATGGCTAACGATATGAAAAGATTTGTTCAGCTTTTTATCTAATTATTTGCTATCATTTACAAAACTCACTATTAATCATCTCTAACCTTTTGTTCTGGTACAGATGCCCAATTAACCGCTAGTTTTACCATTGCACCAGCATCCATTAAACCGAATCCAAAAGCATGACTGACATTGTATCCTGCACCGTTTGTTCTCCAATCTTGGGCCTGAAATCAAAAATTCAAATTTGCATCATTATTTTAAAATAAAAGAACTAAAAAAATAAAGGTTTATAAAAAAAGACGTTAGATTTTAAATAATTTTAAAAGTTGTGACTGTGGCTCTTCGGCACTTAATTATTAAAGCAAAGGAGAAAAAGCAACAATTTTTTTGGCCGGTTTACTGATTTTAGATCGGGGATATCACTTTAATATTTAAAAACAAACAAAACATTTTTTTGTATATAAATACCTTTAAATTTGCCTGTTTTGCTGTTCTTACTGTTATATGCTGTATGTCTCTCCAGTAAAGGTTGGGATTGGCCTAATTGTAAAAATCCAATTAAACAAACTCTAATTTTCACTGTCGTAAAGAATTTTAATAACTAAAGTTGTTACATTTTAACTCATGCCTACCACTCTAACCGAAGAATTATTGCAGTTTCGACAGAACTACACTGATAGAACTAACGTAGGGAATTCAACAAAAGTCTACATATCCCTTATCATAGAAGGCGAAAAATATAAAAATGTTGACGCTAGGAGGTTGCAATATCTTAATTCTATAATGAGGACGCAAATTGAAATCGCACCCCGAGGACGCACAAAAAGTTGACTTACTAAAAGCTTTAAACAATAGGATATCTGTGGTTTCTTTATTAAAAAATGTGTGCGGACATATCTGACCAGTTTTTTAATTTTTTCTTCTTTTATGTTGATATTCTTAAACAAAAATAATGATTTATTAAAGAATTTACCTCCAGGACTAGGGCTATGATACCAGCTGCCATAGGTGAAGAAGCAGAGGTACCAGTATGGCTAGCAGTACAACCACCATGCAGGTCTGTAGTTACAACCTTTCTTTCCCCTTGTCTAAATAAATCCATGGAATTCGAATTATTTTAAGACGTTAAATGTTTTTTTTGTAAATATTAGAAAATAGATAATATTGGTGAAGAATAAAGGTTTTTGAATTCAAAGATGTATATCTAAACTATATGTATATCTATACATCTTAACTTGTAAGTATGTTTGTTTACTTGATTGCATAAAAACAAAAACAAAAAAACAGCTGAACCGAATGGGTTATATTTTTTATGGCAACTCATATTATCCCAAAATATCGACGGTCAAAATTTGTCAATTTTGACCGTCGATAAACCTTGTTGACTGTTCCGATTTTTTATGTCCACCGATGTAAACAGAAAAACACATTTTTTATTTGAGAGCGACGTAAAAGTGGCGGCTTTAAAATCCCTACCTGAACGCCTAAAAGTAAAGCGCCATAAAAGCCTAGTAATATATAATAATCTAATTTTTAAAGAAACTATAAGCATTGGATTGCAAAACGAGTTCTGGCCTAAGCTTGTAACTCAATTTATTTTTGTTTTAAAGTCTAAATACGCACATTTAACCGTAACTCAGCAAATTCCTTTCTCCGAAAATGTTGGTATTTTAAACATGTTTGAATAATAAAGTACTTTGTTAATAATCACGCGAAACTGTTTTCTATTTTAAATCGTTTTTAAGGGTATTTTACAACACACGTTTGTTAATTGAATTTAAGGATAGTATTAAGAATTGTTAATATAAAAATGAATAAATATTAAAGTGAGGGAATTCAAGACAGAAATTCTACTTTAAATTGCTGTAATGTCTAGCTACAGGCTATATATTCATCACAGTTCGAACATTAAACTTATATTTAAATCATTGCATTACATACAAACCTTGATTTTTTTTATTAGAAATGAGTTTTTAACAAATGAAACTATATCTATATAATAGTTATTTAGCAAAATAGTCATTTACTGAAAAATGAAGAATTTTAAATAAATAAGCTGGATGCTTCAGAAATTCAGGGTTTCAATTTTATTTTACAAATATTAACACATTTCAAAGATTACTATTTTTCATGATATGAATGTTAAATTCGAGAAAACACAAAACAAAGAGAAATATTTATCCCTGATACGTAAAGAATGGTAGAATTGAGCGCCATACTCGTCAGTTCTACTTATACGCTGATAGAGTAAATACTAGAAACTATTCCACCTGTTTTAAATTACAGTAAAGTGAATATTTTTTATAAATTCTAAATTACGTGAGAGAGGCTGTGAATAATTAAGAGCATTTTTAAAATGTGATATTTATACTTCCTCCCCCCACTAACCCTAAATAATAATAAATAAATACTAATTTACTAATTTCGTCATGTACAAATTGATATGAGGGGGGGGGTCCAAAAATCGTTCAATAGGACAGACCCAATTTATAGACGATTATTTCTTTCATTGTGATTAAATCTGAATTTTAGTTGAAAATCAAATGAGTTATGATTTAAAACTAGGCCGGAGTCAAGACTGCTAATATCTGATGTGGACACAGTAGTGGAGAATATGGTGTCAGTGACGGAGTCTGAAGATAAAGAGGTAGCAATGGAAGATTAAAATTATAAGTAAGAATTCAAAATGGACAGTTAGAGAGGAATTAGATAGTTTAATCTAAATGTGAAAATATTTCATAAGTTTGCACCATTTTTTATGTTAATGAAGCTGAGTTCATGCCACAAACTTCAATCTCCTAATCCCTACATCTTTGAATACTTTTTTATTTTTCAAAGTATGAGTCATTAGATTAAATAATTTAGGTTTGAAATATCAAACGGTTTACATCAACATGTCTGTAAAGTTAAAGGATTAGAACGATTTACTTTGTAGCAAAAACTGAGTTCATATCTGTACCTCTGACAAAACAATATTTTTTAGATATCTACTCTTGAAAATAATACAGAACCACCAGAAAATTCTGAAACAACGACCAGGCCAGTTGAATATCTAGCTAAAAGTAAAGAAGTGATAAACATTAATATGTTAGATAAACCAGAATCAAAGATGGGAAATTGGGAACACGGAAGTGATCGAGTTCGTTTTATTGATTTGCACACTGACAGCACAGAGGAGGAGGATGAACCTTTAGAAGATGAAGAAGATGATCTAGATAATGATCCTCTCAATGCTAAAGCAATCAATGATGAGATGAGTCTCCGTCTCAGCAGTATTCAAGATGATGCAATTAGAATGCCAGACAAGATAAACACTTTATTGAGTAAGTATATTTTAATCCAAGTTTGTTTGCCTGTTACTTTGTTTCTTTGTTTAATACAAATACAACGGCTGAGCCGAACGAACCAAAAATGTTAGATGGCTTGTTAAAATTTAAAATTTGTGCATAATAAAAATTTGTCGATTTTTTTTCAAAAAAACTCTGAAATTCCGAGCAATTTTTTTACTGTGTACACAAAATGGCGACTTAAAAATGTGATTAAAAACTAAAATTATCACTCTAAATAAAAATATTATTTAATTTTGTAACTTCCATTGCTTACTCACATCTCTGAATCAATTTATTTAAAAAATTCCATTTAACTTCTGTAATTTTAGGAGCAATTATAGTATTGGAATTCTCAGTGAGAGAGATAAACACAATATTTGGAAAAAACAAGGTATAAGTTTTTTACATGTTACATCTTTGCATTATCCCTGATCCCTGGGCCCAGAGGTCCCCTCCCCCCCCCCAAAAAAAAAAATGGTAAAAATGAAATATTTTTTTTTCAAACATTAAATCAAATTTCACTTTTCACCAATATCGGAGATGATCATTTTTTGAGGCTGTCCCTTTTTTGGGAATGAACCTTATGCAAATAAATGGGCGCTGAATTTCAAGCATCAAAACGATTTTTATATGATTATATTTGATCTTTTACCAAATTTGAAGTATTGATATGACCTACTTTATTTTTAGGCATTGCAGTGCAAGAGAAGAAAAAAACTGTATCATATAGTTGATTCGCAATGTTATAAACATTCCACAAGGTTAGCTACACCCCCATGTATGACATTTTAAATACATATTTTTTCTGTTAAGTGCGTAGTTTTGCACCTAACATATAAAGATGCGAACATAGTTATGTTATAGTTATGTTATGTTATGTTCGCAACGAAAAACATTACATTTAAAAAAACAAAAAATCAATGAAAATAAAAAAACTTCCAAACATTACCAATCTTTGTTGAATTCAAATGAACTAATTTAAGAGGTCCATGCGCTGAGGATGAACTGTTTTTTGCTGTTCGTGGGGAACTGCACGGAGTATGCAAAATAAATCTGTGTCAGGTTCGTTGATCTAGGTTAGTTGATCTAGGTTAGTTGATCTAGGTTAGTTGATCTAGGTTAGTTGATCCAGGTTAGTTGATCCAGGTTAGTTGATCTAGGTTAGTTGATCAAGGTTATTTGATCTAGGTGAGTTGATCCAGGTTAGTTGATCTAGGTTAGTTGATCTAGGTTAGTTGATCTAGGTTAGTTGATCTAGGTTAATTGATCTAGGTTAGTTGATCAAGGTTAGTTGATCTAGGTTAGTTGATCTAGGTTAGTTGATCCAGGTTAGTTGATCTAGGTTAGTTGATCTAGGTTAGTTTATATAGGTTAGTTGATCCAGGTTAGTTGATCGAGGTTAGTTGATTTAGGTTAGTTGGTCTAGGTTAGTTGATTTAGGTTAGTTGATCCAGGTTGGTTGATTGAGGTTAGTTGATTTAGGTTAGTTGGTCTAGGTTAGTTAATCCAGCTTAGTTGATCTAGGTAACGATCCAATATGATGTGTGACAACCTGTCTGTTAGTTGATCTAGTTTATTTATTTCAGGTTAGTTGATAAATGTTAGTTGTTCTAAGTTAATTGTTGATGTTAATTGTTTGAAATTAGCTGAAATTGAACTAGGTTAGGTTGTCTAGTTCTAGTTAATTGTAGGTTAATTAATTTAGATTAGTTGATCTAGGTTTGTTGATCTATTTTAGTTGTTCTAGGTAAGCTGTCTAGGTTAGTTGTCCAACGAAAGTTATATTAAGTTAGTCTATCTGTGTTCGTTTCTCTAGGTTAGTTGTTCTAACTTAGTTAATAATAATAATAATGATAATAATAATATGTATTTGGACATTTTAAATTTATATAAAGAATATTTTTTACAATTGTATCGAGAACTATAAGGTCTCCGACCGTTATAGATTTAGACTTAATTAACTTAGAGGTTAATTTAGGTTAGTTGTTTTAGGTCAGCTAATCTAGATCATGTGTCCTATGTAGGTTATTCTACAGGCTAGATTGCTGATAATCAACAATTTCACGATCCCAGTCTTGAATGTTTCAAGATTAGAAAATTTTGCAACGTCATTTAATTTTTAATTGATTTTAATGTGATATGCAAAATACAATAAAGAATTATTTTTTTTCACGTAAAATGATGCTGAGGTTTGTTTTATTGTTCTAGTTTTCTTATTCTTCATTATGAATATTACTTTGGTCGTACTATTTTATAAAAGTTAAAGCTTTCTGTTTTAGGATCCTCAGCTTCCAATACTGTACAACGACGAATGTGTTAACATTCGAACCTCTTGCCCAGCAGGGATGCAACTGTATTACAACAAGTAAGTTTTGAATATTAAAACTATAATTATGCATCATTAGTTGTAGGATTCAAGAAAATCATGCTATAATCAATGTGACCATGACAAAATGCAGACATCTTTTTTAATTTGTTTCAGATACTTTTAAAGAATAGTTGGATTTGAGAAAACGGCGTGCCAAATATTCAACCATATCAAACTGAGAATTTTTAATTTAAATTTCTTATGCTGTACATAAACTTTCAGGTACGGTGAGAGTGTATGCGGGTGCATTGAAGGATCACTGTACAACCCTCAGCTAAACCAGTGCTTTAATGAGTATTCTGTAGGTAGCTGTCCGGCAACCAGAACTTGGAGAAAACGACCAAGTCAGAGAAAGGTGATTGAAATATATTTTTTATATTTATGAGACGCCTTAGTGACGGTATTTACTTTTAATCACCTTTCTTCTAATAACGTAATCATTAAAAATATTTGAAAACCAGGAGGCCCCAAAATTTGAATAAAACTTGATAAACAAAACTTAGAATGTTCCTGTTCTTGCAGGTAAAACTACAGTAAATTGCAGGAAAGATTGAAATTTAATTTTACTTTATAATATAAACGGATTAACTTATTCTTCCCAAACTTGTGCATAAAATCAAAATTAGAGGAGCTACGAGGTCACAACGTCAGCTTTATTATCTCATAAATTGTATCTTCCCGTTCTAGTTCACAACGCTTGGTAATAGCTAAGTAGTTTTCCTCTTAATTTGCATCGATCAAATTATGATTAGTTTAACAACTATCTCAAAAATACCAAAAATAAATTCTAATGCAATTTTAAGATAATCTTCTTTCCATTTTCTGTTTCGTTGTCATTGACCAATATATATTTACTTCCTAGTCTATTGTGAAGAAGAATAGAAAATGTTTTTAATCTAAGTAGAGTCCAGTGTGGATCTCTCCTACCTAAAGATGCAGATATTGGAATAATTAATTCTTTGACACAATTTTTACAGAAATATCAATTTTAAATATCATTATTATTACCCCTGAAATTAATGTTTGTCAATCAATATATATAATGTTAGGTAAAAATTTAATTTCATTAATTGACTCTAGACTAGTTGTACTTAGGGATGTTAACGTTTTCATTTTTCAGAAAAACGGTCGTTTCGTTATGAAAACTACGACGAAAAATCGAAAACAAAACGATCGTTTTAAAAACGATAGTTTTTTTAAATTCGTCGTTTCGTTGACGATCGTTAACGACGACCCTTTGTTAACGATAGTTAACGACGGACCTTTGTTAACGACAACCTTCGTTCACGATCGTTAACGACAACCTTCGTTAACGATCGTTAACGAGGAACCTTCGTTAAAGATCGTTAACGACGACCCCTACGTTAACGAAGACAGGAAACCGACCTGAAGGGCATCTGTACTTATCATTCAGTAGTTTTTAAGAAAATATCAAGGAGTTTTAACTCCCCCACAACTGTTAAACTTCATGTAAGACGACATTCAATAAAGTTGCATGTAATTTTTTTTTCCAAAAAACGACCGTTTTGATAAAGTTCGTCGTTTCGTTAACGATCGTTAACGACAACCCTTCGTTAACGATCGTTAACGAAGACCCTTCGTTAACATAATTGTCAATAACCTTTTTTTTCAAAAACGATCATTTTTTAAAAACAATCGTATAAAAAACGGTCGCAAATCGTTTTAATAAAAACGATCGTTTTCAAAAACGATCGCTATTCGTTTTCTAAAAGTTCAAAACGAGTGGGTCGTTTTTAAAAACGATCGTTTTTTTCGAAAACGAAACGATCGTTTTTGAAAACGAAACAAAAACGATCGTTTAACGATCGTTTACAAAAACGATTAGCAACCCTAGTTGTACTGATTTTTACATTGAAATTTCTTAAGAGACTGTTGAGGACTCCTGGTTACTGTAAACAAACTAATTGTACTATTGGTGAAGTGGAATGGTTTGACGGAAAATGTTACAGGTTAGTCCACACTCTAGTCATGAATAGAAGTAAGACAAAAATTCGCGATAAGAAATAATTGTTACAGTTAGACTTTTACTTTGCTCTACACTCTAAGAATGTCCTTTTGTCAATTCAAAAAAAATCATACATTAAAATTACTAGATACTATGTCTCCTTTTTGTCCCTTTTAATAAATAAACATTGCAAAATTAATGATTGAACTATTTAATTTCTTTACTTTGTGATAAATATAGTAATTAAATTTACTTTCATGAACTTGAAATTTAAAAATATAGAGTGCAAGATGTTGAGAAGACAAGTCAATGTTATGATGAACTAGCCCTCCAAGATGATACCCAAGAAATAATTTGTCAGCTCATTTACTCAGGAACTAAACCAATCAAATAATAACAAAAAGTTGGGTTAAAAATTGATACATATCAAGATGAATAAATAAAAAAGTGTCAATGACGAAAAAGAAAAATCATTTAAATGTTACGTGTTGTTGTACAATACATTTTTTGAATAGTTCAGATAAAATTTTACTTTGAATTTAAATCTCTTAAATATTGTAATTGGAATTTTCTTTACAATAACTATGGAAATTTAATTAGAATATAACACCAATGACGATGCAAATTTTAAGCGAAATATGCTCATTTAAATACTTTATTGGTTAAATATTTAAATTTATACTGTCAAAACCACCTGCAACTTTTATAAGATATTCCTGTTTTAAGTAAGGAATCAGATTTTCCTGTTTTGACAAGGGAAAATCAGATATTAATGTTTTAACTAGGAAGAAACAAATATTTCTGTTTTGACTTGGGAAAATCAGATATTACTGTTTTTAAAAAGGAAGAATCAGATATTACTGTTTTGACAAGGGAGAATCAGATATTTTTGTCTTAACATGGGAGAATCATACATTCCTGTTTTGACAAGGGAGAATCAGTTATTACTGTTTTAACAAGGAAGAATAAGATATTCCTATTTTAACTAGGGAGAATCAGATATTTCTGTTTTAACTAGGGAGAATCAGATATTTCTGTTTTAACTAGGGAGAAACAGATATTTCTGTTTTAACTAGGGAGAATTAGATATTTCTGTTTTAACAAGGGAGAATCAGATATTAATGTTTTAACTAGGAAGAAACAAATATTTCTGTTTTGACTTGGGAAAATCAGATATCTCTGTTTTGACAAGGGAGAATCAGATAATCCTGTTTTGACAAGGGAGAATCAGATATTTCTGTTTTGACAAGGGAGAATCAGATATTATCGTTTTTACAAGGGAGAATCAGATATTACTGTTTTGACAAGGGAGAATCAGATATTCTTATTTTGACAAGAGAGACTCAGATATCTCGTTTTTACAAGGGAGAAACAGATATCCCTGTTTTGATAAGGGAAGAATCAGATATCTCGTTTTTACAAGGGAGAAACAGATATCCCTGTTTTGACAAGGGAGAATCAGATATTTTTGTCTTAACAAGGGAGAATCAGATATTACTGTTTTGACAAGGGATGTTACAAAGAAAAACAATTGGGAATCATTTTTACTGAGGTTGGAATTTGATTTGATCTATTTCGTTAACAATATTAAACATCATTTAATGCTACTTCTAATTCCATTTTTAATATTAATTCTAAAAATTAATTGAATTCGAAATAAAAAGTGAAAGATTTTGTTTAGTATTTTGAAAAGAAATGGAGTCTTTGCAACAAACTCTGATTTTCAAATACCCTACAACTTTGCATTTGATGGTCAGGATAAAAATATTTTTTCTTGACACCCTTTGATTAATTGGTTGGTTAGAACGTGGAATATTAAACGGCCAAGAAACAAACTGTAGACGAGGAAGAGTCTGGAGTACATACAGACAAGCATGCGTTCAACTATTTGGATAATAAAGATGATTTTTGTTTTGTTTTGTGTGTATATGAAATGTATATAAATAAATGCTATATATTAAAAAAATAACATTCTTACTGAGGCTACAAAAACGTATTCTGAAACTGAACTAATATTTTTAATCAAATCGACAGCTGCAAACTCGGACATATTTAAATTGGTTATATTAATGATTTTTGTAGCCATTGATTGTATAAAAAGACTTTTCTAAAGTATAAAACATACAAAAAGCTTTTAAATCGAACTTTTTTCATATCGTTTTCAATTCTGTGAATGTATGCTTAATTACTAAATATATGGTATTAATATGGTAAAGGTGTATAACAATATGGTCAGAAAAAAAAGTTTTCGGTTAAAAATCTTCAGTTTCTTAAAAACCTTTTTAATTTATTCTGAATATATATCTTTTTAACCTTTACAGAATCTAAACACACAGTTTGTATCCGAACTATTTCTATTGTATCCAGTGTAGCAGCAAACTAACAATAGGTAAAGTTTATTTACAGCGTAATGTTCAAGATAAAAAATGATTATATCATTTATTTTATAATGATTCTTAAAATTATAAAGAAGTACTTTAAATCAAGAATTCTAATAAACTTTATAAAAAAAACCTTGTTCTACAAAAAAAATCAATGTCATTAATGCAACGTTCAAACTTGGTATGAAACCCAGAGATTCCCACGGTGAATTACAATGGAATTTTACTTAACATCAAGTACTTTTGATGTTTTGATCCTTCATTAGAAGAATATTTTAAACGATTTACAGTCAAAAACTATTACCTGGAAACTGCACAGTGCGTAAACTGCGCGGAATTGATTTTGCAGCGAAAATAAACTTCGTAAGAAAACCTTGTTTTACAACAAAAAATCAATGTCACTAATTCGGTGCAACGTTTAAACTAAGTTTTCTAATGAACCATTGTCATGAAACCTAGAGATTCCCACGTTGAATTAACAATTGAATTTTACTTGACATCAAGTTACTTTTGAGTTTTGATCCTTCATTAGAAGAATATTTTCAACAATTTACAGCCAAAAACTTTACGTACACTGCGTGGAATTGTTTTAGTGGCAATTTCCCTTATTTTGAGTTTAAAGCAATAATACCGGAAAACTGATTTTTTTCAATTTTGAAGTATACAAATATGCGCCATTTGATTATTCCTATTTAGAAAATAACAAATTAGCGACACCAGACTTTTACCTTTGAAAGTACCATTGTTCTAATGTATTTTGACAAACTGTTTTGATACTCGTTAGAACTACGTCTTCATTATATTAAACATGTTTGGGAAAAAAGAAATGTTTCTGAAAAAAAATTATTATGATAATTGAGATTGTTAAAGGTTTATTTGGAACTATTTTCTACGTAAATGCTAAACTCTGATTTACTCTATCTTATGATTAATACGAAATTATCACATGTCTTTATCCGTTGGTGCCGTGCCTCCCCCCCCCCCCCCCCTCCTTGAGGGGTTTACGATTTAATTTTTAAACCTTCCTGTACATAAACCTTTCAAGTTAAGCATACCAAAGTTTCTTTTTTAAAGAGTTTGCCTTAAAACAAACTTTGACAAATTAATTTTACTCTTAAGTTTTTCAAGGGAAGAGGAACGAGATCTGCGCTAATCCTAGGGCTTTCCATAAAAATAAAACGTTACCTACTACTACCGCTGCTGTATGTAGTGGCAAGGGTAGAACTACATTGTTCACTATACCAGGGTACTAGACCATTTTCACTTGCAGAGCTAAAAGAAAATTTATTAATAATAAATGATTTAGTAATGTCTCAATTATATCCTTGTAATTTTGTGCACGAAATAGATATTAATAATATTGATAAATTATCAATGTAAGCAATGCTAATTGTCAGTCATACAAATATGTAACTTTTACTTTTCAATTGTTTTTTATCATGAAACATAAGAAACACGGGTTCTTCTTTCGATTTGCATTTAAATTGTTTTAATTACCTTAAAAAAGGGACTAAGCGTAATTTCAAGCGACCCTCCATTCAAAGACGGCAATGCTTAATTCACAACAGTACACATAAAAGCTTTGTCTCTAACTAACAGTAATTATGAGAATTGCACATTTTGAAAGAAGGTGCAATTTCAAGTGATCCTCAACAAAAAGATGGCAATACCCGATTCACAATGGTACCCCAAAAGCTTTGTCTATTCGGGGTTTCTCTACAAAAGTGACTTGCGCATTCCTACTGCAGGATATTACATTGAAATTATCAGAAATAAACATTGTCAAGCTCAAACCTCGAGAAACGACAATATCTTTCACATTATTGATCATTTAAAGGGTACTGTTCTGGATCGAGCAGTGCAAAACTTTAAATCTATAAAAACGATACAATCGTCATCCTATGGAAATTATGTGACTTGTTAGTTTGAGCATTCGATGTACATGGTCTGACATGATAAAGTTTACATTGACAAATATTTCGGAAACTATTTTATTTTGTATAAAATTCCAGGTTACAATGAAACTATCTTTTATTTTGGAGAACAAAAAAATATAAACTAATGGAGAGAGAAATCTCCAGGATTTTGTGATGCATTGTTTAGGTCTATTGGCACTCAACTAATTGCCTGGTTAACTAATTGTCTGAATCCTGGCTTTGTCTGCTGGTCTATTCTACTTGACAGGCAATTACATTTGTTAGCGTCACTTATGGAACTACAACGTGAGAGAGGAAAGCACAAAATAACAAAACAAAAAAATGAGGAAAAAATAATCCAATAAACTTGTTTTTCATGCAGAATCAATAAATAAACCTAGAAAAAATGTTACCTCACAGATAGCGTATATATTGATGTTGCATAGCCATCACAATTACAATTATCTTGATATTTCCCCCCGTTCCCACTGGCCCAGACAAATATACTTCCTTTTCCTCCTCGTCCTTTTCTCACGCCTTCCTCTGAAATGAATGAATATGGGAGCAAATTCGCAAAACCAGATTAATTGCCTTTATTTTTTTAGTCAAAGGTTAAAATACATAATTAAAATTTTTTTCATTACATATTACCTATTGCCTAAACCTACAAAGCAGTCATAATTGAAAATAATATACATTTCATTTATGTTATTTGTATGTGGATTTCCGCAAGAAAAAATCTTGAATTTTAACTTTTAAACGTTTTTTTTCTGTAAATGGTTACGATTAAAAATTCTATAGAAACATATCATAGTATGCACCTTTTGGCTAAAAACTACATATAAGTATTGTAAACCTATAACACGACTAGAGTTCAGAGCAGGATCAACTTTGCGCTTGAACCAATTCAAGGCTTTTGAAATGCATCTGGGAAATTGGTAATTGCGTTGGGGTGGAAAGAAAAGGTAAAATCATGGATGAAAAGGATAACTTATTGAACCGATATCTTCTTGAAAACCTTGTGAACCTACCTGAACGAATCGCTCTTACTTTCGTTTTACCTTTTTATGCAAAAAAAGATGATTTGCCTATTGAAACAAATTTAAAGAAATTCAAAAATTTTTGTGTCGAAAAATGTTTCTTACACAATTAATTCTTTGCATCGCCATAAACTCTGATATTGAAATAACTTTATTTTTGGAATCCTTTTTTACGATAAAATAATTCAAGTTTGAAATAAATCGTCAATTCACAACCGTCTGGACGATTTTGATTTTGTAATATTTTTTTGCGTATAATGCACCGACCTCCAGGGGGCGGTTGGCTGACTTCTAACAAAGTCATAATCAATCACCTTTACTTTAAAACTACCTAGTGCACGTCTGGTGAGTGGACCTGGCCCATCAACAGTTCTACCGTCATCATCTGGGCCCCAGGAGGCAGAGTAGATATCTAGGAGAACATTAAATATATATGTTTTAAATGTCAGTTTGTCTCTACGCCACGTGAACTAGTCACTTTTGCTTCATTAAAAATTAGTAATCTCCGTGCAACCAACCTAGATAGTAGATTTAGTCGCCACAATATTTCATTTTTTATATCTAACCCAGCAAGCTGTCATTTCTTTAACCCTATCTCTGTTGGGGTACCAGGATGTGCTGGGGGGGTCAGTTTGACCCCCCCCCTCTAAATCCCATGTTTAATGTCCAAATATGACAAATGATACATCATTGGAAAGCTCTTGTGCTCTACTTTTAGAATCTGCAAAAAAATTGCAAATTTGCAAAAATTGAATTTTTTATCGCAAAATCCAGTATATAGTAAAAATGTTTGCAAAAAAAATTGTCCAACAAATGAAAAATTATACATTTTTGAAAAGCCCTTGACCATGCCATTTCAAATATGCAAAAATGTTCGCAAAATTTTAAATAACCTGATTTTTAATCAAGAAAAACTAAAAATGTGCAAATTTCCTTTGACAGGTTGTTTGCAAAAAAATTGCAATTTTTTCTCGAAAAAATTGTGCAATTCGTTTTCTTATGTCAAAGGCTTTCCAAAAAGCTAAATTTTATCAAAATCTGACAAGTGGAAGTGGGTCAAAACAAAGATTTAATTTGTTACAGGAAAAAGCAGTCATTCAGGCAGTGTGCCTGAGGACTCAGGCAGTTAGTATCAAAGCCCGGTTTTAGAGGAGGGCTTTGGGTATGTAGGAAAAGTCAGAAAATTTCAACAGCCTCAGACCAATGCTTTTTGAGTTATGTAAAAAAATAGCAGAAATAGGGTTAAGAAATATTTGAATTTCCTTCCTGTCTGGATTTTTGAATGTCTAAGTATTAAACTAGATGAAGGTAATTAAAATCTGCTGAACTAATGATTAAATGATTGTATTCAAATTAATGAAAGACAAGAGTTATTGCAATGATTTATTAAATTGAAAAAAAAGGTTACCTATAAATTGAGGGTTTAGAGACAGAGATCTTGCTTCCACGGCATCTTTGAAAAAACAAACAAATTCAGCAATTTTAAAACAAACTTTGCCTAAAAGTAAGATATTCCTGTTTAAATAAATCAAGATTAAAAAACTAATCTTCTCAGAATGAACTAAGCATGAAAGAATTTCAGTCAGAACCATATGGGTCTTTCTGAAGTTTTGGCCAGCATCATCTCTTCTGTAATTTCAATTTTTATTGGATAAGCATAAAGAATTAGTTACAAGCACTTCACAGTTTTCAAGTAAATACAATTTATTCATTTTTTACAACTTTTCCTTTGCCTGTTCCCATCTCCCTTATGTACCCTTATTTGTAAATTAAAGTTGAATATTTGTTTCTGGACATTACTCAGTGTTGAAAAATCGTTCAGATAATTATCTTGAATTTTGTCATGAACTTGTTTTCCTGTAATAGTTCCATCTAACATCTTCACTCCACCAATTCTGGCGTTAAACGCTATTCCTACAGTGCAAAAAGAATTGTTTGCCACAGCAGCAATTTGTCCTGCACACCGAGTTCCATGTCTGTTTGTGTCAAACAAATCATATCTAACAAAACAAAATGTTAAACAAACTTTAAAATCAAAATAAGAAACCCAAAGGAATTGAGTCTCTGCCACATACTCTGATTTTCTAATCACTATATCTTTGAAACCAAATGTTGCATACCTTAGATATTTCAAACTATGAATTCTGTTAGATCAAATACTCTAAGTTTGAAATATCAAAGGTTTACAACATCAAGTTCTAAAGATATTGAGGTTTAAATATTTGATTTTGTTCCAAAGACTCAATTCCTTTGGAGAGTTAAAATTAATTTTCCGAAAAACTTCTTTAAAAAGACAAACAATTCACTCACAAGTATGTAGAGTGATTGTAGAAGTAAATTAAAGTGACCCTCTATTTGTAGATTGGGGTGTCCAAATCATAACAACATACTTTAAACCTTTGATTAATTCAAGATGACGGAAGTTTGCAAGCTGTTTTGTATTCAAGAATCTATATATAAATTTGTCTTGTCTGTCTGTCTGTCTGTCTGTTTCTTTGTATCCAATAACCGGTCGGGCCCAAATTTTTTGTGGGACATCACGTGACCACAGGGAAGGTTTATGAATGATAAAAAAATGTGTTTTAAAGGTTTTTAATTTTGTAAAAAAAATTAAATTCTTGAAAATCCGCAAATTTTTTTTTAAAAATTCCGCAAAATTTTTTTCTTCTTTGTTATGAAATGTGAACAAAAATAACATGTTCACAATTTAAATAGAAGATGGGCGTGAAGCGCCCTAAAAGCCTAGATAGAAGGGCGCGAAGCGACTTGAATTTATCAATATTTAATTTTAGTCAAAGAAAATATATTGGAAAATTTGAAAACCGCGTCGGTCATAAAATATTCAAAATTTTCGAGGAATACACTTGACGTCACAAAGCGGAAAAAAGCGCGCTCAGTTATTCGACCATTCGATTACCTTTTTAGAGATAAACACACGAAGCCCTCCTTAAACAGTCAAAGAATAAAAACGGGATAAAAGGGAACCGTTGTAAATCGGACATTTGCATAGAGCACACTTTTTAAAAAGTTCGACTCACAATTAAACCTATTAAACATGCGTACCTTCTACGTATCGCTTTTTAACTTTTTACGATTTTACATTCTTGTCTGTAGATACATTCAAAATGAAAGAGTTAAAAAATTGTTGAATTAAAATCCTAAACGCAATTTAATTCACATTCTAGAAACCGAACACATAACATACTAAGTGAAAAGGTCACTCGAATCGAAATGAACTACCTTTGCAGACCCTGTCAGATAACTCAATAAAACTTCTAATTAGTATGTGTTCAGTATTCTTGGCTTTTTAAATGAATATTATTTTTTATCATAAAGGTCTCAACAATTTTGTTTAGAAATAAAAATAACCTGGGAAACGGATCAAGATCGTTCTCATTTATATCAAAACTTGCTTCTCCTGCATAATTTCCCATTAAATCAGGGTGCTTCCATTCAACACCGTCATCAAGTATGGTTACTGTCACTCCTCTTCCACTATAACCTAATCAAATTAAACAAAATTTAAATAGATTCAAAACTCGTTATATTTGTCAATAACATCTAATCTTATGTGATCATTATCAAAACGAATGTAGTTAGAGAAACAAAAGTGATATTCATGTAACTTATTAAGTTATAGGAATTGAGTCTTTGCCTGCACAAACTCTGATTTTCTAATCACTATATCTTTGGAACCAAATGTTTCAAACTATGAATTCTGTTAGATCAAATAATCTGAATTTGAAATATCAAAGGTTTATAACATCGGGTTCTAAAGATATTGAGGTTTAAATATTTGATTTTGTTCCGAAAACTTAATTCCTTTACATGGTTGATTATTATTGCCCTTTTTTAGATAAAAGATCTAAGACAGATGTAAGGACAGATATATGTTAAAATGCAAGGAAATTAAAAGATCTAAGGACAGATATGTTAAAATGCAAGGAAATTAAAAGATCTAAGACAGATGTAAGGACAGATATATGTTAAAATGCAAGGAAATTAAAAGATCTAATACAGATGTAAGGACAGATATGTTAAAATGCAAGGAAATTAAAAGATCTAAGACAGATGTAAGGACAGATATGTTAAAATGCAAGGAAATATTGAAAATAGAAAATATCCAAATTGTCCCATCCAATATTGTGTATCTCGGATGCAATGCATTTTCAAAATTCTATTTCGAATATATATTAAATGTTCACATTTCAGATTTTCACGGTTTCAGCAAGTATGCAACATAATTTGACATTATAAAATTTAACAGAAATTTTAGAAAGTATTGAGCTTCATAACATTACATAAACCTTTCAACAATAAATTCAAACTTTAAAAATATGTTCTTCCAATTTGTATTCTCAGAACTGATGAGCTTTGTAATATAATTGATACGTATACACTGAGCCTGAAAATCTTAATTTCTCCGCCCTTTCTCAAATCTCGTCTCAAAGTTAAAACTATATTTTTAAATTGGTTCCAAAAGCAAGAAATGGATTTAGTAAGATTTTGGATGTTGGAATTGAGCCTCTAGAAACATTACTTCAGGTCATCATATCTGCATTACAATTAAAAATAGTGTTGTTAACAATGCATTGAGTTAAAATTACGTTTGTCTGGTTTTTCCTCCATCAAAACTAATTTTATCTTCACCTAGATCCCAAGCTTCTTCAACATTCATGTCCAATTCACCTCCTCTATTTAAATACCACTGACTTGGCCACTCTTTATCAGAAAATCTAAGAAAAAATAAAACTAGTTAAAATTTGTTTAAAACAAAAATGTGTACATTACAGGGGACACTAGTTCAAAAACACGTTAATGACCACTTTTTAAAGTGTTAGAAATGGGCACAAATTGAAAGATTGGGACCCTATCCCGTTCAATATCGAGAACAGAAGTCTAAAAACCACAACCAACATTTTACTGAGCAAGTCGCGTTTTCGAAACAATCTCCGCTTTTCCATTTTGAGTATAATCCTAGCTTAATTCAAAACAAAAGTGACTTTCATAACTTTTATTAGTCACTGAGTGCTAGTTTAATCGATGCTTCATCCAAAAATTTAATATTTTCGTAGAGACTCGATTCTATACAAAAATTACCTTTTTCTTGTTATCTCATTGATTACTGTTGGTTTTTGTACTATTTCAAACTGCTCTTTATCATGTTTATCATCATGTTGAGGGTTCAAAAGGAGAAGAAACCTTTCCATACCTTGAGGCAGAATTCTGAAACATTTATTACTCGAAAATATCATTGATTTTCTAAAAGATATTGAGTTCGATAACTTAACTGATTTCATTTGTTCTATTTTAAATCTTTTCCAAATTGGCGTACCCCTTTATTAAACCCATCTAAACCAACCTTGTTCCCATTGGCAGTCTCTGTGGTGTGTGAGGAGGTGGAGGTCTGGAAATCAATGAATAAATTTATTCTAAACTTTATGATTTATTGGGAACAAAATCTTGAAACGACTTTAAAGAAAGTTTTTATTAGATTTAAAAAAGATTTATAACGAGAGAGACATTATCTGATAATAATTGAAATTTCTTGAAAGAGTATTTGTGATTAAACATATACACAAAAAATATAAAAAAAAGTTTCATGATTCTTTTTAAAGCCCACTAAAACTAAATTTATGTTAAACTCAATTTCATCTTTACAACTATTAGTAATGATTTTTCTTGTTTTCCCTGTGGAGCCGAAAATTTTGAGGAGGAGGAGGGGCATCAAATATTTCAAACCCTATGTAGATATATTAACTAAACTAAAAATATAAGCTAAATTGAATAAATAAGTCTTATAAAATTGGATGGTATACATTTTTAGATTTTAAAAAATTCAATTGTTCTTTTATTTTCTACTGACATACTACCCCGAATATTAACCTTTACAAAAAATGAAAATCTGCAAAAAATTTAAAATTAAAAAACAATCCCTTGAGAATTAAAAATGAAAGTAGAATGTAAAGGTGTTTCCTAAACGTGATTAAGAAATATCAAGACTAGTGAGCTGTTTTTAATTTTGGCATTTACTGTTCAGGTGCCAGTTTTACATATCTGTCTTACTAATCCCTTTTTAATCCACTCCTTTTCTTTCTTTTTCTCTCACTGCTAGTTTCCAACGAATGCAATGAGTTTTAAACTATATAATTCTATCTGATAATTCTAAAGCTTTCAGCTCAGATATCATTATCGACCATATTATAATAAATACTTTTATAAAGATGGAATTCTGGAATACTTAAATCAAATTAGATGCAGGATGTCGATGTGTTGACACGTTTCAAGGAAAAAAATCAAAAATCAGACCCTTTTTTAAAATAGTTTAAAGATTTAAAAATGCACTTTATAGATAAAGGAACTCAGTTTTTGCCACAGCTTCTGATTTTCTAATCACAATATCTTTGCAGCCCAAGCTATAAATCATGTTAGAGCAAAATAAATATAAAAGGTTTACACCATCTGGTTGCAAATATTTAGGGATTAGAATATTTGAATTTGTGACAAAAAATCAGTGCCTTTAACTGAATAAAGGTTTTAATAAAACTACCCAGATTCAACAAAATATTTTTTTCACCTGTACTTCCAAAACTGTCATGGTGTGGTCGAACAGGTAGACGGAAGGGGGGCCTGTAACATTGTTTATCTTTTTTTTACAAAAAAACATCGAAATAAAAAAAAATCAGTTAATTTATTCAATTTCACCTGGAATCTGGGATAAATGTCCCTGTAAGAGGTTGAGAAGAGTCAGTATCTGGAAATTGGAAAGAATCCGGCAATTCTTCAACTTCCTCAATTGGGGAATCTTCTAGAGATGAAGTTTCAATCACATTTTCTGGGTTCATTTTCAAGTCTGACCTACACAATTTATGATTAAACAATGTTGAAAAAACTTGCGCGTTCTTTTACTTTTTCTATTAAAGTTCTAGAAATGCACTATAATGGCGCACATCAGGAAAGAAACTATTGTCTCATAGTATTGCATGAAAAGGAAAAAAGAGTCCCTCTTAATCCTCCATTTACTTACTGTTAATCTTCGATATCCTTAAACGGTTAGTATATTAATAGATCTACAAAAATGTAGTCTTAGTGTAGCTCAGTATATTTTTTGGTTTCAACTTTCACTACCAAAATTCCAATATTGTCAACAACAAGAATAACGTGTCACGTCATTCTCTTATCTTTTGTCTAAATAAATAAACGTGAACTTTCGTTTGTATCCAATCCACAACGAAACAGCTGAACCGATCAGGTCGAAATTTTTTGTTTTATCTTAGATATATTTCCCCAGGCACGATTAAAATTAAAAATGTTTGACTTCAACACGACGCAACGAAATTTTGGAAATCCGTCAATGGAAACAAAATCTAATAAATACTAAATTGTTGTATATTTTAATGAAATTATATAAATGGTTACAGGTAAAAAATAAAGCTAAAATTATTAGACTAAATAAAGGGGCGTGGAGCGCTCGTGAATGTACGCAAGGGATCGCCATCGCAGGCAACTAATTTAAATTACTAATAAATTAAGATACAAAAAAAGTAAAAGCTAAAGTTTTCTTTTTTCTCCTCGACCATAAGATATGTATATAATCTAGAATTTTCTTTTCTGTCCTAATCCTAGTTTATATACATCTGCAACATGTATGTATATTTCTTTTTACGCATCAGAAATCCATAAACTTGATAGACTTATACAAACAGCATACACCTGTATCTCTACCCAAATAAAATGTAGAAAACTTGCTTTAGTTTGGAAAATCACTCACCTTGATTGTCTTTAGACCCATTTTATTTTTTTATTTTATTATTGATTCTTTGTAAGGGTTATTTACAGATTTATTTACCTACTACAACTAATATTCTGCAGATCACAATCTCCCCAGTCTCCGCTGATAACTGTTCCGTCTCTGATAAACCAAAAATTATATTCTTTCTTATTTCCTGCAATTCTGTTGACCTGTTTCGTAAGTTTTCAGAACTAAGAAGTTGGCAAAATTTTTGGTTCATAACTATTTTTGGACCTGGTCAAGGGTTGAAGTTGGATTCATTTTGAAATTTGTGCCTAAAATAATATCGAGGTAATTTTTGGATCAGTTATGTCCCAAGCTTAGCGCTGCACATAATCGGCTTGAGAAAGAGACATTAATAGAAAAGAATAAAAATCCCAACCCAATCTCAAAATGTTATATCTGGACCCTTTCAGGCTTGCATTGCCCAGTTGCATATGGAATTTTTTATCCCATGAGAAAACATGTTTATCAAAAATAAGAAATTGTCCCTTCTCAAAAACAATGTTTCAATCACATGAGAACATCCAGCCAGGACAATAATATTGGTTGTACTTGAGGTCACTAAAATTCCATCAAACCATTATTATTAGAATTATAAAGTAAAACATTTTCGTTAGCCAATGCATGATTATTTAAATAATTGGTTTCCCAGCAAGACTAGTTGCACACCAAGCAGCTCCGTTGCTGCTGTGCTCCGTCGTACATTCCTGCAAAATTCGTTTCTTCACTTTCAAAACGATTTAAGGATTCATTTTGCAATTTAAGAATTTTTTCCTTGTCCTGCCATTTCTAAAATGTTGTCTGCCATGTTTTAGCTTTAAAACTACCCGAGAAATCTAAAGAATTTTGTTTAGATTTCAATTTAAAAATAAAACCCAAATATTTTTTAAGATTTAATTAGCTTTTGAAGATTCTTAGGGGAAAATTTTTTTCTATGATATTAAATTTTTAGTACAAGAAAGGCTTGCAAATAAATAAAATTTTAAAATCCATGTTTCGACTGATTTTATGCAAGGGCGCAAAGCGCGCTAGAAGCCTGGTGTTAGATAAACATAGATAAAATGGGTTTCTGTCAAAATATTTACAATGGGTTTTAAGGTTTTTTTTATGAACAAATTTGTGTTCCTTATAAAGAGTTCCATTGTAAATAAATGGGAACACACATCTCCTGTAACTTTTATTTATAAACACATATTTATAAACTAAATCAGCTATGTAGTTGGATCTTGATCATGTAATATGATTTTCCTCAGTCATAAAAGAATTGAGCCTATGCCACTAACTCAAAATATTAAATTCCCATAATCTTTCCCTCCTGTTGTTTACAACACCTTTGATATTTCAAACTGAGGTCATTTGATCTAACAGAGTATATAGTTTGAAATAAATAAGGTCTACGACTTTTGGTTTGCAATTTGAGATTGAGGCAGACAATCAATTCCTTTACTTTTCCAGATTAAGCAATCGTTATTGCCAAAGAAAAACGACAATATTATTTCTCTTATTTTTAATTAAATTGTCATTCTTAATCTTCTTAAAAAGTCTATACTCAGAAAAAAATTGCTTAAAAAAGATTCAAATAAATGTCTTTATTAGTGTGAATTTAAATAATCCTTGAAAGACGGTCTGCTAGTCCAATAGTGGATACATAGCAGATATCTTCACTAACTGCAACACTTTCTGAAAATTAATTCTAATAAAATATTATTATCCATGACTGGGAAAAGCAAGAAATAAATCATAAATCACAGCATCAAATTGACAAGGATATTTTAAATATTTCCTGGCAAAAAGGTGAAACAAAATATGATCATAAGTCAGAACTTTTGTATTATGAAACTAGGGATTAAGCATCTTTATCTTATGCATATCTTTGGAGTAATTTAATTCCTCCTTGATATTCTGTGATCTTTAACTGTGTGATCTAGACTTGATCTAATTTTAAAAGTGAGCACATTGAATATCGATATCAAGCTGCAGAGAAAACTTTAAATGAGTGATGAAGCATTGATCGTAAAATTTAAAATTGCCTATATTAAATATCGATATCAAATCCCTCAAGATTAAAAATATCCAAACAAAAGTTTCCGAATCATGTCATTTTAAGAAAAAAAATTAATTGTTTTAATTTTACTCTAACTTACCATCCAAGTTGTCCCTTTTTACCCTTGAAAGTGGTTTCAAGTACTTTAAACCATGTTGCGCTGAAAAAAGATAATCCTTAAAGGGAGTGTTCGCGAAAAATGAAAGGGGGTACAGGCCTAATGCGATAAAAAAGCACTTTTGATCGCTACTAATCTTACTTCTATCTGCTGCGTCTATAAGGAGAAAATTGTTAAAGACGTCTCATACCGAATAACATGGCGTCCATACAAATTGAGAAAATTGCAACATACGACTTAGACCATAAAAAAATCAATTTAATTTCAAACAAATCATTCAGATATTACAAACTATAGTCATCGATTATCTTTCGCCACATTTATATATAGTTGATTTTTCATAATATGTTTTAATTGTTATGATCTGAGAGTAACTTATAAAAACATTTATTCCTGTTTCGAGGATTTTTGGAAATGAAGACGACATTTTCATATTTTCCAGGAATGTTCGAAAACAAGTTGTAAGCTAAATATTATTTTTAAAAAAAAATCAAAACTAGTATGAAATATCAAATATATACAAATGTGGCGAAAGATAATCGATGACTATAGGTTGTAATATCTGAATGATTTGTTTGATATTAATTTGATTTTTTACAGTCTAAGTCGTATGTTCCAACTTCCTCAATTTGTATGGGCGCTACGCTTTTCGGTATTAGTCGTTTTAACAATTTTCTCCTTATAGACGCAACAGATAGAAGTAAGATTAGTAGCGATCAAAAGCGCTTTTTTATCGCATTAAGCCTATACCCCCTTTCATTTTTCGCGAACACTCCCTTTAATGTTGAGTAATTATTTCTGTTTGTTTATTATGGTGTCTAGCTAGTTGGATGTCTCATAACTTAAATTAAACTTTGAAAAACTGAGATGTTCTTAATATGGTTTTAAAAAAATTTTAGATCTCCAGGAAAGCTGGGTTCCCAAGCTAGTTGTAAATATATCACGTATAATTTAACATATTTTTTACTGTATAATATTTTTTGTATAATTAATATTTTGTTTGAAAGTTTAACCTTTTTTGTTATCCTCTTCAACAGAACGTTTGTGTATTTCAGTGGATTTAAAGTGGAACAGGTTTGAATCTATAAAATAACAAAAACACCTCACTATCAAAACAATAACAACTCGAAAATAAAAACAAAACAAGTATTACTGCATTTTTAACATTAAGGTTTTAGAAAATGTACCTAATTTAAAGGAGATTATTTTTAAACACTTTTAATATTTCATTTTTAGGAAAGAAATGAATTAATTTTGTGAGATAAGTCCAAAAGCCATAGCTTTTCGACACTTTAAAGTCCTCCAAATCTGAAAATTGTATGCAGAACATTCTTAGCTGTTTTGGATTTTTATGCAGGGATGGTAGAGATGGAAACGGGAGCGACAGAAATCTTAGAGATATGAATGTGAGGAATGAAAATGGGAGGTTTGGGATACGAAAAGACATTTCCCATCATTGTAAATCTAATAGAATTTACCTGGTATTACTTCTCCGAGCATTAGAAGTTGAAGACCCCTAAAGAAGAATTTATTTCATTGCTTGTATACATATGACGACTCGACATTGAACTAAAATCTAAACTTTAACAGAGATGTTATAGAGCCAAAAACCTTTTAGGGCTGGACAAAATTTTGCCGATTAAAAATTTTCTTAAAAATAACGGAAAATTCATTAAAACCCATTGAAAAAACGCTGAGTAATATTGTTTAAGGACAAACTATTACTTAGTGGATCTGACGTTTTGTTTATTTAAATAACTAATAACAAACGTAATTAAAAACAAGTTCTATGTGCTCATTATTACTTTAACCCTATTCCTGCTGGGGGGGGGGGGTCAATTTGACCCACCCCCTGTAGTTTTTTTTTACATAACTCAAAAAGTATTGGTCTGAGGCTTTTGAAATTTTCTGACTTTTCCTACACACCCAAAGCCCTCCCTTTAGGCCTAAAACCGGCCTTTAATACTAACTGCCTGAGTCCTCAGGCACACTGCCTGAATGACTGCTTTTTCCTGTAACAAACTAAATCTTTGTTTTGACCCACTTCCACTTGTCAGATTTTGATAAAATTTAGTTTTTTGGAAAGCCTTTAACATAAGAAAACGAACTGCACAAGTTTTGAGAAAAAAATTGCAAATTTTTTGCAAACAACTTGTCAAAGGAAATTTGCACATTTTAAATTTTTCTTGATTAAAAATCAGGTTATTTAAAATTTTGCTAAATTTTTTACATATTTGAAATTGCATGGTCAAGGGCTTTTAAAAAATGTATAATTTTTCATTTTTTGGATAAATTTTTTTGCAAACATTTTTACTATATAACTGGATTTTGCGATATAAAATTCAATTTTTGCAAATTTGCAATTTTTTGGCAGATTCTAAAAGTAGAGCACAAGAGCTTTCCAATGATGTTTCATTTGTCATATTTGGACATCAAACATGGGATTTAGGTCAAATTGACCCCCCCCCCAGCATATCCTGGTTTTCAAGTACCCCAGCTTAGATAGGGTTAAAAGGGACTCATGGATTATTATCAATTTCAATGAGAATGGAAAACATGGAATATGAATCTACCCGTTTCGCCTCATCATTTTTTCTGACTGGTCCCTAAATTGGAAAATAATGCATATCACACTGGACCGAATTGACCCCCAGGTTAAAAGTTGTGGCACTCAAACCTAACATTACTATTTTTACTAACATATATATAGGATGTTTAAAAAAGGTTTTTAAAATCTGCACTAGGTGTAAATATGAATTGTTTGACATTTAAAAAATATCTAGCCTATATTACTACATTCACTACTTTATATAAATAATAAAAACGGCACAAAATTCAGTTATTCTTGGAGCCCAAAGTCCAAGATTGCTCTAAGATGCATGCGTAGGGTGCTCCACTGCAAGTGTCGTGATTCTTGCATAAAGGATTGAATGGTGTTTGTTTGGTTTACTCCTCTCTGTTCAACCAGATAATTCACAATTAAAATTCTTATAAAAATTGTTCAATATGACAGAAAATATATTTAATTTCCAAGGTATATTCAAAGTAAATCGATGATTATTGCTGCTTCTTGATAGGGCATTAAGGCCTTTTTAATTTATGCAAAATAGATTTTGTATTTAAGTTCAGGTTTTCTTGAAAGGCACGCATTTTTTACATTACAAAATACAGAACAAATGAAATATGATCAGGTTCAGACTTCTGTAATCGGCAAGGAATCTAAATTCTTCAATATTCTGTTGATGGTATTGCCATCAATCTCTTGATTCTCTTTGTATAGTATACACTTGAACTTAGCCAATCATCAAAATCATTTCAAATGTCAAATATCAACATGCAAAGAAGTGATACTAATCCAAATAAAAGATGGAGTTCTGGTGTGAAGGAACTAAATATTTCATTAATGTGAAAGTATCTTCTGGTTTAGAACTCTTCTCTATGTACAACAAAGAACTTTAGTGTGAAATATCATTAATCATAAACTCTTGTTCTAGAAATCTAATTTGGACACTTTAAAATTTGAGGATAGACGCAGTAAAAGTTATCCCTGCAGGGTATGAGCACCAAGGGATATTGAAGAGAAATTAGATAAATCTGTAGGTCTGAATAAGGTTGAGATGCTTGCTCCCAAGATTCACATCACAAAAGTTCTGGAGTGATATTTGATGGACTGTTCCTCTGCTGAATTTATCACTCTCAATTGAATTTAAACATGGAGTTCCACCTGTAGGCAGCAGAAAGTAGACCCCTCGGCCACCATATGAAGGTTTTTTCTTCCCTTATCTTCTTAATAATGCCATATGAGATAATTGCTCTGCCTTTAAAACGATGCAAGAGAAAAAGCTTTTAGGACGAAATTGCTGTTGTACACAATGTACATTATACAATAATGGATTTGTTTACTGGCTCCAGCAATATATGAGAAGATATTGATCACGCTCAAAATCTTCTCAATCCAGACCACGACGGTGGGAATTTTGCAAACGCTCCTGCTTTTAACCTGTAAAGATTTCTCCAGAAGATGATTTAGGTTAGTGCTTGAAAATAACAGAGTATTTCGGAAAAAATATAGTCTCTGATTTGCTTCTTTATCGCCAATTCACAGGAAATTAAGCTTGAGACCTAGAACCCAACCTCTCCCAACAGCATTCACAAACAGAACATCTATCTCCATTTGTGTATGTGTTGTTTAAACTGTACTATATGGTTTTGTTGACTTTTGGCGGATTTTCTGTCATATTTTCGCGGATTTTTACGAATTTATTATAATATTATAAAGAAAATACAAACAACTTTAATCAACTCTAAATCAATTTTAAATCATAAAATTAAGATACTTAACACGCAGTGCAGATTTTAAATTCATTATTTTATGATAGCATAGGGGTTAGACAGTAGATACGCAAGCTTAAAAAGGTTTTAACTGAGTGCCACAGCTTTGAACCTGGTGGACACTCTGATCCAGCGTGAATGTGTTTAAAGTCTGAAGGTCGCCGTTTTTTAGCAAAGACTTTTTAATTTTAAAAACTTTCAGAGGACAATTTTGGTTTTAGTTTATCAGTCTACTTTTTTAACGTCATCAAACTTTAAAACACGGCCGGGTTTATTTCGTGATTCGTGTGCGGGAAGTAGCTAGTTCAATTATTTTTCTATTAAACTCTCGGAGGTATTTAATTTATTCGCACCTCATTTATACCTCATGCTATTCCTTTATTCCTACCTTAGAAATAAGTATGTAATAAATTGATAACCCTGAATGGAACACAAATAGTCAAAATACCGTAATTGAAAAAAAGCTTTCGTCTGAACAGCACTTCACTATTGTTATGAACAGTTAAAAAAGTGCTAGTGGTCAACCAAAATTTTATTGATATAAATCTATGAAAGTTGAAATACCTTGCAATACTCTCTGCTTCCTCTTTTCCTCCCGAAACATACCCCACCAACTCATCATAGTGACGTACACCTTAAAATCGTTTATTCAATAACCAATACACAATGTTTCGGTTTAGCTCCTCTTAGAATAGAAGCATGGTTGAACTTGGCATTAAAATATATTTACATATATGCACCTGTTGATAGATAAATACTGACAAATTAAAAAGTTCTTCTTTGAATTTATACTTTTAAAGTTTAATTTTTTGGATTTGTTACCTTGACATTGTCGATGACAGATAAACCCAATCAATAAAAAAAGAGTTTTAATCGCCTTCATTCCTGAAAAAAAGAGCCAATAGTTATATTTTAGCACTTCTACAAGATAAGAATTTGTATATCAAAAACAGTATATAAATCATTATTAATTAATCTTGAAAATGCTGGATCAAAGTTAACCTGAAAATATATAGTAAGTCTTTGACTCTATTTTTTCTTCTATATCTCGTGTTTCAGCAATTTCATGTCTGCCTCATTTTACTTGTTTTTCTTCTCTGAAATATCGGAAAACAACAATTTCAATTGGATATTTACTTTCATTTTCTCACAGGATTAAATGTTAAAGGTGAAGTAATAAAAAAAGAGTAAAAGGACAAACCTATCTTGTAAAAAATAAGGATAATGTCGATGCGGACATTGTGTTGGTGGTTTTTTAGTATTTTTTTATTCACATTTGTTTTACAATTCTTTCATGTTTGACTTTTGAATTCAATACTTACAATACTACGTCTTTTTGATTTTGGCGTCATTTCAAATTAAACTTATAAAATCCTAGACTACAGTATCAAAAATTCAGGTGCGAGGCATATGGACAATTTTAAATTTAAAATATTGTTGATTGCTAGTTACAAATTGCAACCCGTTATTGTGATCTATAGTTACATTAACTTAAAGGGAGTGACTTGCTTGACTTGGTAGTTGAGCTGAAAGTGTAGTATTTGTGGAGAAAATCTTTAGGATTTATTTGATACCGATAAGACATTTTTACAGTGTAAATTCGTTTGTAATATTTCACTAATTATTAGCAGAAGAAAGATTTTTTCAATTCTTAAATAACATGAAACCGATATGAATGCAAAAAAATTTACATCTGTAGACTTCAAGTTTCGGACAAATCTGGGGGAGACCCTAAATAGATACAATCCTTCAGGGTTCCGATAATAATACGCTGGGATGTTGGAACTGAGTTTATAAATTCTTTTTGATCCAGAGGCGCATCTAGGGGGGGCGGCCGGGCGCGCGCCCTCCCCTAGCACCTGAGAGGGGGGGTGCATCTGATCTACTCCATTCTTCACCCCCTACTCTAAATCGGCTAGATTTAGCCCAAACAGGATATATTTTAAGCAAAGAAACCGTCCGTTTTTTTAGAAAAGAGTCTATGCCTTGAAGCTTTGAATGAAAATTTTCCCAAACCTTTGAAAGTATAATTAGAATTCAAAGAACTGTATTAGATTAATAGTATGCATCTGGCTGAGTACACTGAGAACTATGCCCAGACTAGAATGGTTTAGACAGATATTATTTATCAAAAAATACACTTTATGTCACACCAATACAATGCTTAGAAATAAATAGAAAAGTTCATACCATACCTAATTCAACACAAAAAGAACAAAAGAAATTTATGTGCAAAACCAAAGGGAAAAACAGTTTTTGATATTTTAAGTTTTAGTTGTTTTGTTTTTAATCTTCACAAAATCTTCAATCACCATGCAAACTGTCATAGAGCTGGTACGACTTTGTAACTTTGTAACTTCGCAGCTCCTTTAGTTTAGATTTTAGACATTAGTATGAGAATAGACAATTCAGCCGGTTCATATTAAAGAGCCCAAGCAGTTTAGTTTTTCCCAATATATTTAAAACTTAAGTACCTGCAATTTATTTTACTTTAATGTGAAATTTTAGTTCTTATAATAACTTAGTTCCAACAAGACGGCTTGTTTTTCATTCACACTTAAAAGCTGTCCAATAAATAATAATTTTTATAAATTATTATAAAATCACTGTGTTTTTCTTGACTACAAATTTCCCAGAAAATGAAAAGCAAACAAAAAGAGATTATCTAATCTTATATCCTGACTTCAAAGCTTATCTATGAAAAGCGCCGAACTCAATTTGTTCGGTTGCAATTTTGTTTGGTAACAGGCAAAAAGTTTGTTACATTACTTAATCCTTGCAAAAAATGTGGTTTCTCTGCAAATAATTATTTATTTACTGGAAATATTTCGCTCTATGGTAAAATGTTTTTTCAGTTTTTTGTTAATTGAAAATTGTTCAGCCTCTGGCAGTTTTGTGTTAGCCCGGCCTCAACAAATTTAAATGTATTTACACTATTGATGCTAGAATTCATTTACCCTCTTTTTCCTGACTTGACATTTTCCGATTTTGGCGCCATTTGGGTTGAATGCAGGTTAAACTTTATTTTTTTATGAATTCTAGCAATGGCAATATAAATTTTCAACAAGGCGATTTATACATTTATCTCACTTAATAAATTCTGATTTATATGAAAAGTAAAAATGCAGAAATGAACATTTTTATAACAATATTACAAATTTTTATTTGATTAATTCCTTGTTAAGGTTAAAGACATTAGAGTGTTTATGTTATTATAAGTTTTTATGATTATAAGTGTGTCAGCTTTATTCATTTAAATCAACAAAGGTTTGTTCCCAAGAAGCTTTGATCGTCATTTTTGTGAGATAAGGTTGTATATAAATTGAGATTAGAAATTACTTCTTTATCACTTTTAGTTCAACTACCAGAAGAAGATGAAAGTTGTTGGAGTTCTCGCAACTCTTCTGGCATCTTGCCTCAGCAAAGACATGTACCTGGGAAATCATAAGACCCGGATATCCCAGGACAAGGCACAAGATCAGTTCCTGGATTGCTATGATTATGCTAATCAAGGAGGGAACAGACTGAGAGCAATTGAGTATATTCCTCAACTAAGCCAATACAACTTTAACAATATCATCACCTCCTGCTGTATTACTGGTATCTGGATCATGTATGCTGATGACAACTACAACAATCAGAACCTTGGAGCTGCTAACTGGTGGGTGTATGGAGATAATTTTTGTACTAATGTTCCTTCAGGGTTTGATAACCAGGCTTCCAGTCTTAGATACACTGGAGCACCTGATGCCTGGAAAGCGGATACACTAAATCTTTACAACAACGAATTTTTCATTGGCGGAGAAGAATATTTCTACGGCGATGTTCCTCAACTAAACTATGACAACCAGGCTAAATCTCTAATTGTAACAGGATGCAGTGGCTGGACCGTATATGATGGACAAAACTACCAAGGTAATTGCAAATGTGTTTGGCCGAGTGACACAAACGCATGTTATCCAGGATTTTACTCTACAGAGCAGACCCTGGGCTCACTAAGCAGATCCATCAGCAGTGCTAGGAGAGGATGTTTCTGTTCCAAGAGTGTCCTACCAGACAATCACGGAGCTAAGACCAGCGAGGGAGGAGCAGCTGGGTTCTTCAATAAGGGAAACTAAATGTTAATAAATCTCAGTTAAAATGCATGCAACTAAACGTGTTTCATTTTAGAATAAATTATATCTAATCAATATTCTGGAAAGTGCTTAAAATTTACAAACACCAGACAGGAAAATTCAAGACATTGATTTTTAAGAGCCCTTTATTGTAATTTTTAACACAACCCTCGGTCCCCTAGAACCTTTTCTTGTTGAAGCCCTCAAAGTTTTTTATATGAGAGAGGGCTTGAATAAGGGTGGTTGGAACTGATGCAGGGGCCGAGTGGGGTAAATTTGATCTAAGGGTGGGACGAAACTGATCAAGCAAGGGTGGAATGAACATTAAACTGACATTGGTCCATTCTTATCCAGACTAAAAAGATCGACAGCAATATGTTTTCGTATTATAAAACTAATTAACTTTATTGCTAAAAAACTTTGAAGTTTGAAATATAAATCATCATAAAAAATGTTTTATTTTGATTAAAGTTTTAAAATTTGTGAAAATAACCAAACCAAGTTGTATTTAATTCATGCAAATATAAACAAAATACTGAAATAAAATTATGAAAATTATCTAAAGAAACTGTCGACGTAACCATTTGTAACTCTTTATTCACAACAACCAAACATTGTTTTTGAGCTAAAATGAAAGAAGTTAAAGATATTCTGAAAATCAACTATTTTTAACAGTTATTTATTCATAAAAGCCCATTTTATAGATTGTTGGTGGAAAAGGCAAGAAAGGAATGGAATTTCTAATTGCTATAAATTTACAATTTCAAAATATAAATTCTGTCAGATCTAATAATCAAAGTTTGAAGTATCAAAGTTTTATACACAATCAGGTTGCAAAGGTAATGAGATTCCAAAATATGAGTTTGTGGAAAAGGCTCAGTTAAAGTGAAAAAAATCTTTATATTTACTTATACTTAAGGTCTGAAGAATATCGTTGTGACTTGGGCCTTCATTATTTTAAAAATAGAGTCACAGAGACTAGTGTAAGAAACTGCATAACATAATTTAAAGAGAAATATTCTCGATTCAAACAGTATTCTTTCCCTTTAAACCTTTGACTGGTTGTAAAGGACAGAGAATTCCGAGTGTATATATTGTAATTATTAATTTGTTCTATTATATACACCCTGATGTAAATCATAGGGATTTTCTAGGTCAATCATTTGCACCCATGGTTTAGGGGTTATGCAAATATTTTACTATAGATCCCCATACTCTTGTTTTTGTATCGTATCGATCCCTTTAATAATCTCTATGCAGATATCTCTGAGAGTATAAATGAATGGGATTAATCAGTTTCATATAGTTTATATATTTAATACATCTGTAAAGTTTATTCATGTTTTAATCAGTTCCTTTAGATCTTCAGCTGCTCCAGTTCAGGATCTGTCTGAGCAGCTTCCTTAACTACACTATCTCGTTCAGCTGTTTGAGTCTCTCTGGAGCTTCCACTAACTTCCTAACTGCTTCATTTACTAACAAAGCTTCTCCCGGAGTCTCTGCTATTCTGGCTGCTCCTCCAATCTGGCATGCTCTTAATGCGTCCTCAGCAGCTTCTTTAACTACTAGAGCTACTCCTTGAGTCCCTGTTATGTTAGCTGTTCTTGTGATCTCAGCCACTCCCGAAGCTGTTCCTAGAGTACCTGCTGTGTTAACTGTACTTACAATCTATGCTGCTCCCGGAGCCGTCCCTAGAGTCTCTGCTATGATAGCCGTACTTACAGTCTGAGCTGCTCCCAGAGCTCTTCCTAGAGTCTCTGCTATGTTAGCTGTCCTTGCAATCTGAGATGCTCCCACAGCTGTTCCTAGAGTCTTGCACTATGAGATGCTCCAGTTCAGCATCTATCTCTTAGCAATCTCTCAACAACAGCTTCCACATTCACAGCTGGTTATTTTGCTGCTTCTACTGTAAACCTAATTGCGACTATGGCTGTCCCGGAGTCTCCGCTAATTTAGCTGCTCCTACAATCTGAGATGCTGCCACAGCATTTTTAAGCTGCATCCTTTAACGAACTGGCAACTGGTCTGTGAAGAGCTGTCTACTAGAAGCAGCGTCCCTGCATCAAGATCTCTTGTTCCTCAACTGTTTCTACAATAGAACTGTGAAGAGCTGTCTGTAAAGAGCAGCATCTCCTGTCCCAGGATTCTCTGGTTCTGTTGCTGGTTCCACAACAGGCCTGTGAAGAGCTGTTCCACAATGAGCAGTGTCTCCGTACTCAGAATCCTCTGGTTCCTCTAGTGGTTCCACAACAGGTCTGTGAAGAGTTGTTCCACAATGAGCAGCGTCTCCGTACGCTGCTTCTACAGCGGGGTGATGGAGAGCTGCTTGCAAGGAGCAGCTTCTTCCATCTCTGATACCAGATCCTTTTATCTGTAGACCTCCTGGTTTCTCAATCATGTCTGGAGGATGATAGATTCCGTCCTCATAGATCCTCATGACCATTTAGCTGGAGTCATTGGTCTGCATTGGTATTCTAGCTGCTCCATGTATTGGTTAACTGTGTCGAGAGAACCAGCTCAAGAATATGGAGCTTCTGCATGTCCTAGAGGTCCTGGCTGCTCTGTATCTCAGGTGTCCCTGTCAATAGAACCAACTCAAGATTAAAGAGCTTCTGCCTATAAACACCTTAGCTGCTCTGTTCATAGATCCAGCTGGAGAATAAAGACTGGTTCTCAACTCAGCTTAGATTGGTAGAAAGGGATGAAGGGTTTTGGTATCTTGTCATATTCTAAATATTACACCATGCTTTCAATAATACAATATCTCTTAAAGGTTGGGTAAAACCCCGTAAAATGCACGCTATAGCGTTCTGGGTCAACTCTTGATGTCGACGTTACATCTATTCATGAAAAATCTAGAACATTCTATGGGCGACGCCCTTTTAAATTTTCGATTGTGAATATTGAAATTCCACCATTTCTAGAAAGTAATGTAAATATTCCATGAATACAAAACAACCTAAATACAAATTGTTTAATAATTACATTCGGCCTTGATCAATCAAAGGTTTAACGAGTATCGTTGTGAATCATAAATACCCCACTTTAAATGAAAGGTCACTTGGAGTTACGCTTACAGTCTCTTTAACAAATGATTGGCAAAAAATGTATTCCAACAAACTAGATGAACACGATTTAGATAAATTTCACACAAAGATAATATAGAACTGTTTGAAAAAAAAATAAAACACTTTGATATCTAATACACGCAGGCCAACAAAAAGTCTAATAGCAACTGGTAATAAATGCAAAAAAAGGTTTAAAACTGATTACTATTAATCTAAGACTGCATGCAGTGCTAAACAAAATTGGGTAACGCTCTTACATTGTAAAACAAAAACAAAAAAAGTTTACGGATTTTCTAAAAAATCGTGGATTTTCAAAATGTAATGGAAATCTAATTTTGTTGGAGGCAAATCTTTGAAATTTTGATCATCCATAAACCTTCCCTGAGGTCACACAATGTCTCACACAAAAATTGGGCCTAAATATCAGAATATATCAGTTTAAAAAAAATTATCCTTAATGAAATTTCATAATTAAAATAAAGATCAAGGACGACGATTTTCCTATAATTTTGGTGGCTAGGATGATATTTATTTAATCTTGTTTATATAAAAAAATGCCAACATGATCAGGAAATTGAATTATGCATGCCTGTCTAGTTTGTGCATAAACCATGTAATCCCTATCATTGTTCATACATAAAATTTCTAAATAAAAATGGTTTATTTAAGGCTGTGTACAGATAGAGTAAAGGTTGTCAAATAAAAATATAGTCAGCACTTCTAAATCTATATTGACCTTTGATATTTTAAACTATGAATTTTGTTAGATGAAAAAGTCTAAGTTTGAAATATTAAAGTTTTACAGCATCAGGTTGCAAAAATGTAGGGGGATGATAGAATTTGAGTTTGTTGCAAGAACTCAAGTCCTTTGTATTAAAATAGTAATCTTTATTTTAAATAAATATCAAATCAGTTCTTTCATGTGGTGCATGAAAAAAGGCTAAACTTTGTAGCGCACAGTAATCATTGAAATAAAAGTTGATGGACAAAGAAAAGAAATGAAACTGAAAGGTTAAATTTACAGGTTGCATGAATCATTATGCATTAATAGTCTATTACTTAATGAAAAATTGAAAACAATTTAAAAGAATCGAAAAATAAGGATTTTTAAGTGTGGAATTTGTTTTAAAAAGTAGTTCCGTGTACAATGTACAACATAATTATTCTACGATGAAGTAGAGTGAAAGAGAAAACGCCCATTGAATTGATTATTTAAAGTTAATTTAAGATTAATTAAAGATAGTTTAAGGTTTGTACTAACTGTATTTAAAAAACTAAACCAAATGACTATAGATGAAAATCTAACAATGATTCACCTACTTTCAAAATGGAAATTAATCTATCTACGTCTACGCCTAGCATTCTATCTATCTATCAATGTATATTTGTATCTACATCTCACTATCTATATTTCACTGGAGTTGATGTCTCTATTAATGATGAAAGACTGGCGAGGGTACAGGTAGCTGAAACTAGAAGAACTAGTAGCAAAATCAGGGTTATATATATTTTCAGACCAGTTTTGAGTATCTCTTGTATTATCCAATTTAGATCAAAGCAGATGATACGGGATATTTTATATATATGTAAACTGTATATTGTAAACCATTATATGTAATGTATGAATGCTAGAAATTCATAGAGTTGATTAGCCTTCTTTATACCAAGCGATCTGAGTTATGACAATTATGCATCAACTATTGAGACTTAACCGTTTTTAAAGCGTGTCTCATAATTATTAAAAATGTATACATAAAGTGGCGTAGGTCTTTGCGGCAAATATTTTTATGCTGTCGGATTTTAAAGGTTTAATTTTATAATGTTAGGTACTTTCCCAAAGGCTTTTTCCCAAGCGGCAACTTTCCAATGGTATTTTCCCAAGTTGCAACCTCCCAACTGTGAAATTTCTCAAGCGGCAATTTCCCAAGTCTGTTCTAGCCGCAGCGCTCGGCCCACACCTAGCCCATCCAAGCCGCAATGCCCGGCCCCATGATATTGCACATTTGGGAAGTTGCCACTTGGAAAGTCCATCTTGGGAACACTCCCAAAACATGTTTTTGCGTTAAAAAAATATGTAAGGCTTATATTAACGGCGTACACAATTATAAAAATTATCATTTTTTAACATTTTAACGATCAAAAAGGGGTTTATTACGTCAATTCAAAGTTTGAATTACTACTCTTCTATTATGTTTTCTGAATAAATTAAGGGTAAAAATGCTAGAATATGTTCATTTCCATTTTGTCAATTTACAGTTCATCAACCAAAAAATTGACAGAATGGTAGTAGCTAGACCCTCAATTTTAAACTTATTCTAAACTTCATATTTTACAATATTTGATCAGAAATTTAAAGATCTGGTTAAATGTAACATTTTATCGACTCTTACAAACGCCAACTAAAACATTTATTCAACTAAAATCAACAAATAAAGAAGTCAACAAATAAAAAGTCAACCTAAATCAAACTTGGCAGTTTTTATCCTGAATGTTAGCTGCAGGGTGTCCCAAAAAAACATGGGAATTCAGTGACGAATTCGATATCGTCTTTTTAAATAATTCCTTGATTAAGTATAGTGATACCAACTGAGAAAGCTGTAATCTGTAAGAATCTCGTCTGCTATGTTCACATTTTGTTTGTTTATGTTTTGACTGCATACGGTTGTACTTAGTAAAACAAGAAAATTGCAGTATACAAACGAGTAAATTTGTCCGTCTTCACTGTTCATCTTGCAGAGACATTATAGACATCTTTACAGTCTTTTACCCTTTTCATAAAATAAACTCTTGCAGACATAATAATACTATGGCTTTTAAAATTAGGTATTACAATGCCAATTCATAGCAAAGACGATATACAATTCGTCACTGAATTCCCATGTTTTTTTGGGACACCCTGTATGTTTACACTGTAAAAAAAGTTTTAAATACAATTGCGAAAAGATGTAAATATCAAACGTGGTTATAAAATAATACGTTGTATAGCAACAAATATGAAAATAATCCTGGATGAAGAGTGTTTCTCTTTATGGTTTAAGTGCAGTAATACAACAAATATTAAACTTTATGCACCTGCAATGCTAATCAAAGACCCTGACCTAGGATTTCAAGCTATTTTATTTCCTCGTTTTATTTTAATCATAACAGGAAAATCTATTACATATTTTTTCAGGCTAGTTCTGAACTTTTAAGACTTTGACGTCCAGGTTTAAGAATTATATATTCTGATTAAAAGAAATTCATGTATTTAGACATCAGTTAGAGTATTAATTAGAGTAATAGTCATATGCTAGTTTTATAACCCTAATTGATTTTCTTTTACATATTTACTGCTTTCTTATTACTGTAATAATACCCTCCATTATTATATAATCTATAGACTATATAATTCATATATTCTATAGATAGAATAAAGCGCAAACTTGCACCCTTGGAATTTTTATATGTTTCTTGTAGGAAAAAAACTATGATATTTATATTATAATATCCAAAATATAGTTGCTAAGTGCAAATGTTTATGCTTTGTGAATATAAATTGTTATCTTTATCTTAACAACTTGTTCTTAGAACAATATAAACTTTATCCTTCATTTAAGATTCGAAGAAGTAGACATTATCATTTGTACTCTCACAAACATTATAATATTTTTTTCTTGTATTTTTGTGTGCTCAAATTTAACTTACTCAAGTTATTCTTATAACCATGTTACTTTTTCACTTTAAAAAATTGATTCAATTTATTCGAAAAAAAGATGCCACAAAAAGACATACATAATATCAATAGTATATACAAGGTAGGTAAAATGGAAAAGAATTGGTAATGGTCGACCATTCTATTCATAAGAAGAAAATTCTAATAAAGAAACTAGCTTAACAAAAGTAGAAGATTTAGTATTTGAAAACTATTGGTGTGCAGTATGCACTGTCTTTAGAGTCGATACAATAAAAATTTTCTATTGACACAAATTCAGGGTTGCAATGTTGCCAAAGAGCTACATTGCAAATTGAATTGGCAAACTAAATTGTCTAGCACTCTAAGATTTTAAATGACTATGTTCTCAAAAAGTTTGTAGCTCTGATGGTTCTCCAGGCCCTGATACTACGCTTCTTCTTGTATTCTCCATTGTACGCCTCTGAAGAAGGAAAAAAATCAATCTACACAAAAAATTACTAAAATAACCGATGAAATGAAAATCAAATAAACTTATTCTAAAATAATTCAAATCTTGTTTCAACCCATGACGTTTTTGAATGTACAAATAAACTGATTGATTGATTGATTGATTTCCTGTAGTTGAGTAGCTGTAAGGAGGAAGCCAGGGTCTTGATAAACAAGGGAGAACTGCACCATTGTAATAGTTGTCACACCCTACACACATTTTATTAATTACTAGCTTGGGAACCCAGTGTTATACCTGGAAACTATGTTTTTCCTAAATATTATAAGATATGTCAACATACTCAACCAAGGTAAAAAAAAAACATTAAGGTGGTTCATTCGCGTTTCCCAAGCAAAATATTTGATGCAAATAAGACAAGAGGTTTCTGAGTTATGATCGGACGCACAAATAAACAGACCAATAGACTAACAACTTTATAGACATAGATAATAACTGTAATATTATACTTTTTAAAGATTTTAAAACAAAACAACTCAAGTTAATAATAATTATTACCATATTCTACAGGGGTAAAATTACAAATTTGACTTAGGAATTAAATGGGCACATTGTCAGAAATAAATCAATTAAAAACCAAAAAATCATTCTCGACAATTTATAGTTATAAAAATATTGACGTTCGGCCTAAGATATACATTTTGCTAAAATGTGTCAAAAAAATTTAAAGTTAAACTGATTTTTAAAACTGGACTAGAAGCCATGATTTGTCAAAACAAAAGTATACGGGAAGTTTTGGGAAAGCAATATGTTTGTGTGTATTTGCATTTCGGGTTCAATGCATTTCAAAGTTTTGGGCTAAAACATCTTTTCCAAAGGTTTCTGGTAAAAATATTTCTCGAATTAGAGAGTGATATAGACAGTTTCTAATGGAGTGGGAAGAAAATGTCATCGGGTTAAAAGAAGATTGATGAAATTTAGAATTGGATATTTAGATTTACGATCAAGAGATAATATACAAGGGTGATATGAAAGTATTTAACAAGATATAGTGAAAAGAGGGATACAAATTTCTTAAAAAGCGATTTCTTGAACACAGCTTTGTCTAACTTTCTTTATAAAATCTAGAAACCAAGCTAAAAAAATTTCCGTGGTTGATCCAAGTTCCCAATCAAAATTGTAGGCAAATCGGTGAAGGGGTTCCCGAGAATTATAATCGTACATATACACAGACAAACGAATAAACAAAATTTAATACTTAATACATTTGGGTACTAACTTCTTTCTCCCAGGTAAACTTGTATCTTTGGAGATTGGACCGGCTGGTAAGGGGTCTGGGCAGGTAGGTCAGCTCCAGCAGGAGGAATATCAACACACTAAATAATCAGCTTTTTATGTACAAGGATACCCACAGAGTACAAACTCGATTGATAAATGTTCAGAACATTTTTTCAATATTTAATAATATTTAATTTTTATTATGTCGCACAATAAGCTCTTCGTTTATGTATATATAAAAAATTAACGTTAGCAACATGAATATTTCACCGCTTTCATTGAATCGCGCGACAACTTTACAAGGTCAAAATAAATTCGGACTTGGTGTCCCAATAAACAGGGAAAACTAATAAATTCGGACTTGGTGTCCCAATAAACAGGGAAAACTAATAAATTCGGACTTGGTGTCCCAATAAACAGGGAAAACTAAGTGTCGACGCATATTGGTAGTTTAAGCAATTTTAGCTACATGTAAATAGAACTCAAATTGTGACTGAATTATTCAAGGCGTATACGGGGGGAGGGGCTATTTACATCTATTGGTGCCCCCAGAACTTAGAGCTATCACACAAATAAAAGAACGATGATCTTTACTACATATATTACAATTTTACATATTTTACACGTCATAATTATTTTCTGGACCTTTGTCCTTTTTTTAATCCCATAGAATTAAAGTTTAAGTTGAGTTTTTAATTTTTAAAAATGTCTTTTACAATCTCCAGTTTAAATAGTAACATAACAATATAAAAAATGTCGATTTTTTAGAAACATGTTTTTTTTGGCGAATCATATTTTTAATTCAGAGAAAATGGTCGCAATAAATTGAGGATTAATCCGGACCATAATTTTCTATTGAAATACAGTAAAACCCTTAATAACGAATACATCGAAAGAATTCATTAAATGTCGTATTCTTCACTTTCTGATAATGGAATGTTGCAGATATTTAGTTTTTTAATTAAATGATTTAAAACTGTTCCCGCATATTCATGGCTATTTATTTATTTTCGCAAACACTGAAATTTACGTAATATAGTATAAGACTCATTGAAAAATTGTCAAGACGACATTTGATAGATTCTTCCGATGTATTCGTTATTAAGGATTTCACTGTATATATTTCACTAATTCATTTTGTAAAAAGCGTTGTACTTTTTTGTTTAAAAAACGTTCGACGCTGTACCCATATGTACAGAAACCTTAGTTAGACTACAGGACTGACTTTTAGGTAACAGGGTTTAACTGGCAAAATATGAGAATAAACCAAATAAACCACCTTTTTATTTTAGTAAGATTAATGTCGCAGTAAAATATGGAGCAAAAGGTTAAAACAAATAGCATTAACTAACCTCAGAAACAGATGTGTAAAGAATAAGAATCCAAAGGACGGGTTGCAAAGACAACATGCTACTCTGAAAACAACCAATATCAAGTAAAACCCAAGCAGAACAAAATTGAATTCACGATGAAGACCGTTAAAGGTTTTCAAATGAGAAAGAAAAAATAATTTCAGTTTTAGACAAATTCCTTAAATGACAATTTTGTTCATGCCCACCCATTTTCTCATTTCCATGGTAACTAAAGTGTTTTGCGTAGGAATACTATGAATCAACTACATTGTTTAGATCTTGCCTATACAGGTTTCTAGGCATACAAGTTGGTACCTGGATTTAAGGAGGGGGTAGGCAGTTCTGATGTGGGGTGGGGAAAGGGGGGGTATTTTGTAGACTCAAATCAGGAATCAATTAGTAAACAGATATTTATTTGGTTTTAATAAAATAGTAGGCCTGTTAATCAATATAATATAGACGACTTCTAGTGCAGCTTTCTATCCAGCTGCACGTAGATAAAGGAAAACTGTGAATTAAAAGGGGAAATATTCTTTGTTTTTATATTATGAAAAGAAAACAGACAATGTTTGATGTTTCAGTACTTCAAGCTTATCTAGTTGTTTGTCTAAAGAATATATTATTTCTATAGCAAACAATGTTCACAGCTTCCCTTTGTTTACATGAACGCTGCACTAGAATGTCTTCGATATTATATTTTAAGTACATAGAGTACAAATATTCACCGTTTTTTAACGCACCTGTAGAGTGTCTGAAATTCGCAAGCATGTAAATAAATCTGAACGTGCTCTTTCAAAAAATGTACAGGGTGTCAATATAAACATGGGAATTGAGAGACGACATAAATATCGTCTTTGATTTACGATAATTTATAAATGACATATAAAGGGCATCAAAAAAGGACTCATTGTCTAAAGAGCTTTCCAAAATAAGGTATTTTTTCTTTGTATCTTTAAAATTGACGAAGATATTAAACATTTGAACAGTTTTGTTGATTTTTGATAAACTGGAATCTGGACAAATTTTTATAATATCTCCGTCAACTTTGAAGGTAAAAAATGGTAGACCACATTTTGGAAACCCCTAGACTTATAGTTTCGGTGCTAAATGTTTTAATTTAATTATGTACGAAATAATTCCACATGGAGCAAAGACGTAAAGTCGTCATTTAATTTCCATGTTCATTGCGACACCCTGTACTATAATTTTCTATTATCAAGAATTAAGATTGATTTTATAAAGATGCAATTGTTTCAGATTTAGAGTTTTCAGTGGAATGGAATAATTGTTGTGCGAATCTTAGTGTACACATTAAATTTCGCATTTATTTTCGCTAACTTCCTTATGAGAATTCCGCGCAAATTGAATAAATGCGCGGAATTTCGCACAAGTTAACAAAAAAGTTGCGCGGAATGATTTTCTTGCAATTTTTATTATCTGATGGGGATAAAGGAAGAGAAATATATATACCCAATATATTGTAGAACATACAGTGTGTCCCACGAAACGTGACAGTGGTGAATGGTTATAAATGTCTTCTTCCATAATTTGTTAAGTTCTTAAATACAAAAGAGAATAGTAAAAAATAAAACATAGCAGTCATTTTATTGAAAATTGATTTATTTAAAAGTAAAATATATTTGAGTAAAAGAGTTTGTTAACGAAATAAGCTGAAAAAAGTCTTTAATATCTAATATAATATATGGAAGGAGACGTTAAAAACCATTTACCACGGTCATGTTTCGTGGGACACCCTGTAACTTCCAAAATATTACCTCGGGCATGCAAATTAGATAAATCACTTTAAATTGTTACCCTTACAACTACGCGACATTCAAGTATAGTTAGTTAATAATTGTAAAAAATATTCAAATGTTTGTAATTGTACTTTCATGATTTATTTAGTCATGTTATCCCTAGATTAAACTGTGCTTTTTTGGGCAATTCTACATAGGACGACATTTGATAGCGTTGGCTCAAACTTTCCACAATTTATATTTATTATTTGGATCATTTTCTTTAAAGAGGAGGGCAGTTTACTTTTACAAAAATAAACTTTAAATAAACGTTTTTTTTACAGTTAGTAACATATGCCTATCTTACTCATCAAAGCTGGCCCAAGGGGTGGATTATTGCTTTTACTTCTTTAAAATATATTAGTTCATTTATTTAAGAGAATTTGAAACCAGAGATTGTAAATACGTTTAGTTTGCTTTAGTAAAAACTAGTCTGATTAAAAGTAAATGAGCACAAGTTCTAAATTATTTTTGTAATTTAACCTAACTTCTTTCTTTCTGATTTTGTGATCGCTTCAATTGTTCCTCTCTTCCCTTCTCCCCATCTCCCAATAGTTACCCCTTCTAACCTATTCTTCTTCTCCCACTAAACTAAATATTCCCCTTTTTAATTTATACTTCTGTAAAGTATGCTAACTCCTCAATTCAAATATTTAAGCGTCAAATAACTTGTCTTAAAAGTAAACTTTAGCATGTTGTGAAAACATTAAGAGACTAGTGGCAGGGCAGTGAGGGACAATAGAAACTTTGTCTTTAACGTTAAAAATATTGAAAATGTGTATTCTGCTGAATAATTGAATAAGAACTATCTTTTTTCATCAACAAGTACAGTTAAACCCTTAATAAAGAATACATCAAAAGAATTCATCAAATGTCGTATTCTTCACTTTCTGATAATGGAATGTTGCAGATATTTAGTTTTTTAATTGAATGATTTAAAACTGTTCCCGCATATTCATGGCTATTTATTTATTTTCGCAAATACTGAAATTTACGTAATATAGTATAAAACTGTCAAGACGACATTTAATAAATTCTTCCGATGTATTCGTTTTTGTCGGAATGAGTATAAGCACTGAGACTAAAAGTTGACTATTTTTGAGTTTTGACTTAGAAATTGAGCGCCTATCAATGCCAGGACAGTTTTGAATGTCGTCTTCGACGAAAATACTTGAAATAAGGTTCTTAGGTCAAAAAATGTCTTTTAAAGCTCCAATTCAGTCTGTCATCTATCCTTCTGACATCTCTCTATCCTTGATCT